TATCCTGAAATAACATCAGTAGGCCCTTGTCAGGTAGTCCAGAGTTTTGCGTACCTCGGTTCTTTGATACAAAATTCAGGTGGTTGCGAAGTTGAAACCCCTTGGCACATTGGGCAAGTCACTTGTTTTTTTTTTTTAATTTTTTGCATTTTCGCATGTATCGTTCGCTTTCTATTACATTATAGAAGACTAAAATTGCGTTAAGTCAACGTTCTGAAACAATATCCCGCTGATAAGATTCATACATAATTACGTATTTACCTAAATACAGTCTCAAAGGTTTATGTTTTTCGGTTTTCGGGAAAAGTTGTGCAAATGGAGGAATACCAGGTACTGGAAATACACCAGCATTTTATCTATTATTATTATTCGTCGATTTTTAACTGACACTTTCCGTATGAGGAGCGAGGGGGTGTTTCATATTGTCACAACTACCCGCTTTACGGGGGTGACATGGGGGGTTTGTAGCTTTGGGGGTAGATGGAGAGAAACTCGCTCAGGTTATATAAAAATATATGCTATATATTTTCCCAAATATAACCTTACATGTATGCTAATTCTATAAGGTACATGACCCTTCGTACACTGGGGTCCTTATAGGGGGCCACACATCAATTCTGCTTGGGGGACTGTAGATAAGTTTATCGTCACCCTTATGCCTTGTCCAGAGGGGCGTTCCCAACGAGAGGTAATTGCACTGGACAACGATAAGGCTGAAGATACCCAGAGGGGCGTTCCCAACGAGAGGTACTTGCACTGGGGAGACTTAATTCCAGAGGGGCTTTTCCAACGAGAGGTACTTGCACTGGTTTAAGTCTACCTTTGCTGCGGCTTGCAGCGCAATTTATATTAATTTATTGCTGAATTGCAATAAATATTCGATCGAATCGGCAATTAAATTAATAAGGTTGAATACCGGGTCCTCCTTTCCCAAGCAGCTAGTTGACAATATGGCAAAAACAGGTGCGACGTCAGGTAACCATTGGCGTTCTAATGTAGGGAGCCACCAGCTCACATTCCGTCCGAGTATCAGATTAAAATCGACGGACAACAAATTTCAAAATATAAGTTTGATTTTTTTTATCCAAAAGATTTGTGGTTTCTTAGTTTTTAAATCATTTGAAAACGTAGGCGCGTGAAAAACATTGGAAAAATTTGGCTTTTAATAAAATCTACACGGTGTCAACTTATAAAGTACCACCATCTGTAACTTTTTTATATTTGATCGTACATAAAAAAGTTACAGGTGGTGGTACTTTATAACTTGACACCCGGTACAAATTTTGGAAATTTTCGTAGGTTTCCAGAGTTTTTATGCCACAACGTGCGAAAACTGCATCAACAAATAATTACTTATATAGATAAGCAAATAATCTCAAAATGTAGTACAAATTGCAGGACAAGGATATCATTTATTATATAAATCTGAATTGTTTCAGTGTCATATTATAGTGCGGAGGTTGGGTTCGAGGTTCGAGATGAAAAGTGCCATAAAGTCTAGTGACAAACGGTAAAAGATTTAAGTGAAAAGTGACTAGTGTTTTTAGAATTGAAAAGTAAGCAGTTTATTTTTACTAATAAAAAGAAAACAGTCCATCATTATATTTAACAAAGTTGTAGCAGTCAAAATTGACACAAACGAACCTGAATGGGGAAGAGAATCTCATTATAGGTAAATACAGAAATTTCAACCGAATACAGATGGGTTTGAAGAAGAAAGAAAGAACTGTTTTAACAAAGTATCCAAGTTACCAAATTAGAAAAAGGGTTGAAGTTAAAATTATTATTTTTTAAACATAGGTACCTACTTAGCTACTCCAACATTCATTATTATCCAAACAGTATCAAAATGCCACACGAACTTTTCACCTTGGTTTTGTCAGCTTTTTATATAGTGTTCACTTAATCAAAGTCAACCAGATACCCTAAAGCCCAGTTGAATATATTTAATTATTGTTACTGAAACAATAATTTTAATCTTGTTTTCCGTTGGACATTTTATTTTTAGAAATAGATTGCGTTGTGTTAATTTTCTTAAATAAGTTGTGGTGAGCCACAAGGTAGGTACAATTAGACAGCTAGTTTTTCGTTTCTGCGGCAACTCTGAATAATTTTCCCCATCAGAATATATACGGAAAACTATGGCCTTATCTAAACTCGAAATAGGGCTACAACCTAATCAGAGAGTTACAATTTGTCTCAAGATCTTTCAAAATAATATTCTATTCTAGATTCTAGTACTTATAACCTAAGACATGTATGAGTTAGCCACCTATTGGAAAAAAATTCTGAAATCTTTGCTTTGAAAACTCATATAGGGTTAAAATTGGCATAAAAACCTCTTGAGGACATACATAATTCTAAAAATTGGCACTAACAAACCTTAAAGAGAGTTAAAATATGGTAAGACTAGTTCGTTGTTTGAAAGTGGCACCTCTGGGAGATAGAATTGGCTTCAAACTCAGACTCTGCTGTATCCCAGTAGTTTTTCAACTCCTCCTCTGGTAACTTCTAGAGCTAGGATCTTCCCGATCTGAGTGTATCGTTTTGAATAGTTTACCCTGTATATCTAGGCAAGGAAGTATTTTTTCTGCTATACCCACAATCCAACCACATATACAATAGAAATGCACACAGGAAGTGTATATTCGCCAAGATTACAATTTTTGAAAAGCAAAATGCAATCAAGCTCTAAAGAAGACTATCATATCTCAGAGCTCACGAAGCTGACTTCCGAGATATCAATTATACGCGAATAAATAATGGGTTTTAAGCTGGTATGGAGGCGTGTAGGATTATGTCTAATGGGCTAATGCATCTTAAGTTGCTCGAATGTACTCTTAGGTAATTGAAAATTTATTCTGTACGCAGTTGCTAAAAACCTATTTTCCCACGTAGGATAACTTCAAAGTATTTGATAAAAATAGAGAAGATTCTATGTTCTATTCATCAACAGGGGGATTCTTTTATTTTTTATTGATTGATGTACTTCGGAGACACCATTTACAATTACTTTTTACTATCACAAGACCTACAAGTTTTGTCTAATCTGATGATATTGCACTAAATATAATATGCATAATTAATTACGCAACAATATACAATAGGAGTTATTATCTTTCACTAGTGTGATAAAGGGGAAGGTCATTTCGAAGACATAATTATCACTTGTAGTAAACAGAGTGAATAGATTACGTCTATAAATATTTTGTCACAAATTTATTATTTTGAATTTGTTGGAAATACTTTTTTTAAATAATAATTATAAATCTACTGTCTCTTATCCAGTGATATGAGATCTTCTTCATCTTGGATCTATAAATAAATTTCTAAATACTGCAATGTTGATCTTCCTTATTTTCTGAATAAGTCCAGAGGAATATATGAAATGTTTTTCCATAGGGAACGACTTTATTTGAAATATTTCCTTCTCAAGAAAAAAAATTTACAAGAAAATGACCCCTTCACGGAAAGATTATTGAGAATTACGAATTCTTGATGATCTATCCCTGAAATGATATTGATCCAGTTTTGATATGGTCGCTGTTGATTAGCTAGATTAATGAATTTTCAACTAAATTATCTTAACTTTTCATGTTCTTCTTCTTATCACAAATCATCATCTTCAGCCAATATATTGAGATTTACTCATAAGAGTCTTTCAATTTGCTCCGCAACTCTGTATCATTTTTATACACACTTTCGCATTGAAATGGTTCATAAAATGATGGTTAGTTCTGTTGTCGGATACAACTGCTGGTCTTTGTAGAAGGCTTGGCCTTTTTCCTTCGAGCTAAATAAATATTAATAGTCCATTGAAAAAAATCTTCTTTTGTGAAAAAAACTTTTTTGATACCTAACGAACTTTGCTTCATTCAGCAGGAGCTTCTTATTATCCCTTAAAGATTTACTAATTCATCTATCAAGGTTATTCTCTTCTACCTGTGAATATATCCCTGATCCTGATCTACAAACATTACTTCGGAAAACTTTACCTTCACCAGAAAAATCGAGACCAAAAAGAACCAGTTTTTGCATCCTTCCTCTTACCGCAAACGGTAAATCAAGATTATATAATGAAACCCAAATTAGCGAAATCCGCAAAAGGATTTCATCTACTCCACAAATTACTCATCAGTCATCAACCACACGCTTTTTTACTTGGACAATCTCCGTAGCGTGTGCTCAGGGAGATCGGCGTTGCCAAATCAATCAGAACTTCAAATAAACAATTTCTTTTTCTTTACAAAAATTTTGATAAACGTAATCTGTATGTGTGTGTGTGTGAATCTAATTTACCTAGGTCAGTTTCAAGTCAGTTCAGGACAACCTAACAAAGCAGCTTCATAATAAGAATATTAATCCAGGTTTATATTTGTCTTATCACCTCCTTAGGGATCTAATTTTCTCCAATAAACAGAAAGATCTTCCCAGTGGAGCTATTGGTATATAGTTACCTACTTTGAATCTGATATAAAATAGCTACATACCTAACTATGAGAGGTCACGTGTGCTAAAGACAGAAGTTATATTTACAGACACGCATACATATCGTTAAATTTGCGTAACCAATTTCAACTATTGCTGAGAACTGGATAACTTCATCTTCATCAGTTTTGCTCAAATGTTCTTATTAACCATTTCTTCTAATTTTAAATCTGGATCAAAATATGGAATCTTATTTTCAAATACCTACTGGTACTACCAAGAACAGGAATGTTATGAGACTTTGTCTTGCAATGGCCACTTGGTACCTACCTATATTTTTTGATTGATTGAAAAATCAATTTTCACTCTGGTGAATAAAGGTAGCAGCTAGAATATCTCATGTATCTTGAATCCTCAAGCAATTATACAATTGTATCAATTTCTTCGAATTTCAAATATGAACCGAAATATCTCTGCATAGATATTGGATTATGGAACCATTTTTTGGGTACTAACTGTGGCAACGTCGTCGAGTTTCAGCTCGGATACGTTTCTAATAATGGTTTGAGGAACGATAGATTTGCAGTTTTTCTGTAGTCCACGTCGGTACGCTCACAAGCGGAGAGCGTTCTGAAAATGGTTCCGTCAAAGTTCGAATTTGAATTTGAGCGCGTAAATTTCTAAATTATTGTTTTGTTTTTTTTTTGAAAATTTTATTAAGTGTAGTTTTTTTTTATGTATTTGATTTTTTCACAGGTGCGTATTACTTTCAAGTGCTTATTTGATCAAGAAAATTTTATCAAAAAATTTTTAATAAAAAAATTATTTACGCAAGTTTATTACACAACACTTCAATCTATATCAATTAAATTGTTCCCGAACAATGAATTTCTTGTCCATTAATTTATCGAGATCACTTAACGTGCTGGTTAAATAAAAAGGTTCCATTTATAAGTTAAGTGACTGATAACAAATATTGTAGGTAAGCATTTTTAGTTCAATAATTTTTGAAATATTGAAATGGAAAATCAAGTAGGTATACGCAAAAATCTGAAATGAGTAGATCATTTTTTTCCTATAATAACCACAGTTCAAAGTTCAAATTTCTACAATAAATACCTAATAATTATAAGCCAACCAGCCGCACGCACAGGTTGATTTAAATTGTTCAAAAATTTGCACCTTGTGTTGAAGAAATATGAATTAAAATGAAGCTGACCTTTATTTGTTGTAGGATGTAGTATACCACACATTTTATAACTGTTTTTATTGAATTTATTATCTTATAAAGATTTAAATTTAAATATGTGTATTTGAAATTGATGATATTGGGAATTGTCGCAAATGGATTTGTTTAGCACTTATTAATAGACTACAATTTACTAATTTAGTATATTATCATGGTCACTGGAAAAACCTTGGCAAATGTTTAAATTTATTCTAGATGTTAGTTAGAAATTGCAATTTTCCGAATTTTGACGGCTTAAACTTATAATTAGAGCTTTTCTTGAAAAATCCATTGGAAAATTTTGTTATTTTTTTAGATGAACAATTCCACTAATTCCAGTATACCTACATATGTATATTTGGATGCCTTATAGAATTTTTCGGCCTGCATTCATTCATGCTTCGGTATATGTATTGAGGTATAGGTTTCATTAATTACTTTTGAGTTTAACATTGATGAAATAAGCAGATTATGCGTAAATTCTTGAAAATGCGGACTTTTTAATCTTTATTTAGCCTTTCACAAGGCTGCAACAAAGCACGTTGGGTATTTAGATGAAGCAGTAGTAAAACAATTAAAATATAGTCTAGGTATAGTTTCTCAAATGAGAAGGCAAAAATTGGAGTCTCCTCAAATTATGGTATTGCCCGTTAAAATTATACTATTATTAATTATTAGGAAAAATATAGTGAGCGTGCCCGTATACATTGGATGCGACTCCAAGTGCGAACAATGCATCTTATTGGTTGTTTTATACAGTCAACGTTGACTCCAGGAATGTCTTATTGGTTATAGATTTTTTAGCGGCGTCTTCGGCGGCATATTTCTTTGAAGCGGCTGCCGCTTGATGCGAATCAGTTTCGTCTGGAAAGACAGTGCAGTAGATAGTTTTTATAAATTTGATTCCTATTTCAGTTGTATCGTGCCTCATGTTTTATTTTATATAAAACTGTTTTAATAAATTTCTCTTACTCCGCCCGTGCTTTATGAAGGAAACGCCGACAACCAAAGGAATATTATTTTTTTTCACTGTCTCATTTGACTATCGATAGACTATACATGGAGAATAGAAACATTAATTCCGGTATGATGAACCAAAGAAACAGCAAAACAAGTAGTAGAAATCATCATATTCAACTTTTCCTGTCCACTGGCTGGTCAAAAGCCTCTGTGGAACTTTTCCATGCTCTTTTATCCTGCGCAACAAATATACAAATTCCAGCTATTTCCTTTATGTCGTCTGTCCAAGAAGTTAGGACTCTTCCCCTATTTCTGAATCTTAGATGCCACCTCTCTGTTATCATTCATTCTGGCGACATGTTCTCAGTTTCAGTTTAATCACAAAATGGCTCCCACACCTTCTCGAACTTCTGTATTTTGTCTAATTTGCTGTCTGGATCCGTCCGACAATATTTCTTTTTGACTCCCTTGGTTTCCACTGCAAATGATTAAGTCAATTTAGAGTTCTTTCTGGACAAGTGTCTCGCCCAAAGGAGTCTTTCTTCGCAACTAGTTATGAATATGAAGGTAATACTCTTGAAGGGCTCTGTGAAGTAGGCAGGCAGTGCAGGCACACTTGAAGCACAAAAGTTAAATTTTACGTGATCGTTTAGCGCGTCGTTGGTGCTTCAATGTGCTTCAATGCCCAAATTAGCAACCCTCGTATTTTCGGAAATATTTTGGTTTTTTGGAATCGTCTGCGCATTTCACACCCAGCAGGAGAAAGGGAAGCACCAACGTTCAGTTACAGATAAATGGTTAATGCTCCGTTAGTGCTTCAATGTGCTTCAATCCCCAAATTATCAACCCTTGTATTTTTGTAGATATCTCGGTTTTTTGAAATCGCCTGCTCACTCCACATCCAGCAGGAACAGGGGAAGCACCAACGTTCAATTACAGATAAATGGTTAGTGCTTCGTTAGTGCTCCATTGTGGTTGAATCTCCAAATTAGCAACCCCTATATTTTCAGAAAAAATTCGATTTTCAGAAATCGCCGGTTTATTTCACACCCAGTCAGAACAAGGAAAGCACCAACGTTCAGTTGTAGATAAATTATTAGGGCTTCAATCCCCAAATTACCAACCCTTTTATTTTCGAAGATATTTCGGTTTTTTGAAATCGCCTGCTCACTTCACACCCAGCCGGAACAAGGGAAGCACCAACGGGGTACAGATGAATAGTTATGACTTTGTTAGTGCTTCAATGTGGTTCAATCCCTAAATTAGCAACCCTTGTATTTTCGGAGATATTTCGGTTTTTTGAAATTGCCTGCTCACTTCACACTCAGCATGCAGGAACCAGGGAACTACCAACGTTCAGTTACAGATGAATGGTCAGTGCTTCATTAGTGCTTCAATGTGCTTCAATTCCCAAATTATCAACCCTTAAATTTTCGGAGATATTCCGGTTTTTACAAATCACCTGCTTAGTTCACACATAGCAGGAACATTGAAAGCGCCAACGTTTAGTAGTTGTAGATAGATGGTTATGTGCTTCAATGTAACGAAACGCTAACCATTTATCTCTAACTGAACGTTGGTGTTTCCCTTGTGCCTGTTGGGTGTAGACTGAGCAGGCGATTTCAAAAAACCGAAATATCTCCGAAAATACGAGGGTTGCTACTTTGGAGATTAAAGCACATTGAAGCACTAACAAAGTACTAAACGAGTACGTAAAATTTAATTTTTGTGCTTTAAGTGTGCCTGCCTATTTCACAGAGCCCTCTTGAAGCACTTTAAGAGTGCTAGACAGGGCCTTCAAAATCAATTCGGATAAACTTGGGGACATTGGGTCGCCTTGTTTGACACTTTTTGTCACTGCTATACCAGTGCTTCCTACATTTCTATTGGGCATTGATTCAATGCTCTATCTAGAAAAACAAAGGGTAAGTTCTGACTTTATCCAATATTCGGGAGTCCTTTTTTCGTTGAGAGTCCACTTCTCCGACTTTCAACGTCTCGTTCATTATATCTGATCTGAACACGTTTCCCGGAACGCAATGCTTGAATTATTATTCCAGGTAGGTATGTGTCTAGTTCTCCCTTATCAATGAATTCTAGTTCTAGCTCGAGTTTTTCATTTAAAAAAATCCACACTATCTGTGATTACATTTTCTGCAGACAACTTCTCCTTGATCAGTCTTCATTTCGTCTATGACAACTCACCTCTTCTGGAGTCGATCGAAGAATTTCCATGTTCCAGGTGTTTCTGGGTACTTGGTTAATTAGTTCTTTTATCCTATCTCATCTAATGCTTTCTTTTTTCCTTATTAATATTCTTGTAACGTAATAAGAGTTTGCCTTATTTCCTATTCCTAATTTTTCAATTCAATTCAAAATATACTTTCTGCTTCCAGGAAGAAAAAACATTAAAATTCACTTCAAGAGGTTACAGTTATACACGTCAAAATAATGCTTCTTTATAGAGATATCAAAGTCAAGTCAAGGAGTTGAAAGTAAGAACTTTGAAGAACTGCAATTTAAAATTATGATGATATCGTTCAATTATCTTCTCTAAGCATTCTACCCTTGCTTTCTTTGCTGCAGGCTTCTGGGAATTTTGTGATACATTCGGCCTTTGAAGGGCTTCCTGTTGCAGAAGTCCTGGCGTTATGCGTTTGATTGTTGTTTTTGGTGGATTTGGTTTTTCGTCACAAAAGGTACCTAGTTTCTTTTACTTTATTTCTCTGAAGCATAATGCTCGCGAGTAGAAGGTCGTCATTATTCATATAATATGAAGTAAATGAGTAAATTTCTGCTTCTACCTTTTACTTGAAGCTTTTGCGTATACTTCTACCTTGTGTTTAGAAGTAAATTCTCTATTTTTATTCATACAGCTGATTATACCAGCTCACACATTAATTTTTTGGTGATACTATGTGTGTGTGAACCTCCATCATCTAATGTGGAATAATTGAAAACCAATACCGACAATCATGCCGATTCACAAAACCATTTAGGCAAAATGTGGCCTTATCTGAAAACAGAATTCTGCTAGAAAAGCAACCATCATCATCAAAACTTGAATTCGTTCTGTTTCTGTTAGATTTGCATCCATAATTTCAGATTGCAATTCTTTAATGTGCTTTCAACTAAATCTTTGATGTCTTATGATCTTTAACGTGACTTGATATCTTCATAAAAAAGCATCAACCTCTATGCATCAACCATTTTTCTGACGCGTATACCTGTAATCTTTTGAGGTAATATTATCTGAGGTTACTATTACTTCTAAATATGATAAAAAAATTGAATTGAGATTTTTATTGTGATTAAGAAATTAATGACGATAAAACTTTAAAAACTTGGGGCTATACTAAACTTGATACGAGGAATGAAACGCGATGGAAAAAAATACTTCATTCTATTTCAAAAAATTAAGTAGATTAGTTTGCAGAAAAAATGTAGACTTGGCAACACCGCGGATACTTTTTTTGAATTCCTTATGTTAAATAACCCCCAGGTACCATATTTCGTGAAACTCTCACGTGGTTTTGGAAATAATAAGCCGTTTCCAGACTTTTGGCTAACCCTGTATACAGCCTATACAGGGTGTGTTAGTTTGGTTTGATTGACTTTCATTGACTGCATTATTGCTCGAAATCGAGAAACGCCTTCTTGCGACCACACGGTTAGAGATATCAAAATGCGGCTTGCGTCATTGAAGATCAGAAATTGGCCCACCCTATAGGTACATTCCTACATTTGTAAATTATTAATTCACTCCCTTATAAGGCAGACAAAAGAATTGCCAGAGGAAGATCACGACTTTGGCATTTGAAATAAGGATGATCACTGAGTTGTTTTGTTTCTAGGTTGAATTCCAGCTTTTTCTGTGTTTGGAAAGAACAAACTTTCTTTACTCCATTTGAAACCTGCTAGTTGATTTGGTAACTTCCAGGGTGCGTAAATCTTGAATTTAATTTCAAGGCTTTTCTCTCAGATTTTTTTTTGGCAAATTTAACGCTTGATAGTCAAACTAATAAGTACCTACCTAAATATTTTATCGCTTGTTGTAAGTACCTACCTACTAATTATTTATGTATTTCTAAGTTGAAAATAAGCATTTATACAGAATTCCTATTTTTCTATATAATTTTTTAAGGGAAGTCTTACCTTTCAAACTTAATTTCCTGAGCTGTAGGTAAGTTCATTTCATCTAAAAATCTTAATCTGCGGAAAAAAAAAAAACGTATAGGTTTACGAACAAAATCGACCTTGTTTTTACCTCATTAAAATAAGACAGTAAACCAAGGCAAAATTATCTTGTAAGTTACATTCCACTTGATATTATTATTTTCCGCGCGAAATGGTCAAATTAAAAGCTCATTTATAAACGACTTAATCAAATCGGTTTATCAGCTGCTAAATCTGCCTGATGCAAATACAAGCCGGATGACTTTATTCATTTTCATACTGGGATCAGGTTACCAAACCAACCAGGAAGAAACACGATTCAATAAACTGAATACTAATTTCAACATTTAGGTATATAGTAATTAATAATAATTTGTTAATCTGAAATAAATTCTGTGAAAAATACTTATTTTTTTTTTGTCAAAGAAGAAAATCCAAAAAAAGATGCCGACCTCTCGAAAATAATATATAGTTTATACATATTACTTCGAGAAGACATTGGAAATTGGAAAATGGAAAAAGTCTCTAGCAGGTGATATCAAGATGAAAGATGAAAGTCAAAAGTGATACATGCGGAAAACGGATTGAAATTGATAATGATCAAGATCAACAGATCTGAATCTCTTGGACTTTTCTTTGCGTTTTCGCATAACATATCTAAATAATATATGCACTGCAATATCATGGTAATATTTCCTACAATCAAATATTAATTTTATAGGTTTTTTATTAGTTGCAGTCATAATAATATTAATTGTAAAAGTAGATAACGCGTATAATAGTATATTTGAGGACATACATAAGTACCTACGTTATCTTTGGAAAAAAAGTTATGGGTTTCAACCTCTAAAAAACAGGACCTCGAATGCAAAGTAAAAAATTAAGGTCAAAAGTGTTTTTGAATTTATTCCAGTAAACTTTTCACTTGTAGACAAAATTTTGAAGAAGCTTATTTTATGTAGGTACTTTGTACCCACTTCAATCGAGGTTTAATTGCTTTTATGAATTTGCCATGTCATACATTCCTGGAATAATATGTATTTATTTTATAACATTATCTTACATAGTTATTAGCTATTTATTTCAATTGTAATTGTTAAACTCTTTACGAAACATTGTGTATTCTTTTAACTATATAAAATATGACGTGTCATCCCATATAAGATGTAGTTATTTTTCATATAGGTACAAAGATCATATACATATATAATAGTTGTGGTTTAAAGTAGGTACACTACAAATACACAAAGTTCACAGACTTAAAAAATAAACTTTCTTTTCCAGATTCCACACTTGGCCTAAAACCAAAAGACTGATCGACTAGTTTCATCCCACCAATACCTATCATCAATCTCAATCACGGGAACCTTATAAAGAAGTTAAAAAAAGAACTACAAGTGTATTTTTGCCCAATAAAGATTTTAACAGTGTTCTTTGACTTCCAAGAAGTATACTCGTAAATCTTTCAAAGACTGACGCTGAAATTTCTTTTAAATTAAATCGACTTTTTACGTGAGTGAGTGTTTATACAGGGTGCTTAAATATGGATTTCACTAAGCAAAACGTTAATCCAAACCCAAGGGATAGGTCCACGCCTCTAGGGCTATTATTTTTCACGTGAGTATATTTTTGCTATTTTTAAACCTACCGTCCCTCTTAATTTTAAGCGTATTAACTTTTATGAGGCCCATTAATAAGCCAAAAATGGCTCATCATATTTCTTCAGACCAGACTTGGATGCTTTTAATGTAAATCCTAAAATAAACTTGAAAAATGCCTTTCAAAGTAGGAAGTCGGAAAGATAAATCTTAAGAGGTGGTCTGAAAAATATCTTTAATTCCCCATCCAAGAGGATTATTATTTTTGGGTGCAGTCAAGAATTTTTTCAAGATAGGAACAATAAGCAGTGATTACTTTTAAATATAAATCAGAAGGATAAATAGTGGGGACAAAAGGCCAATGTTTATTTAAAGCAAAAAAGATAGGTATAGTTTATACGAAGTCAATCCGAACAGCATAAAAACTGTTTAGGCGGCATCTTCTTTATGAAATGGAGCATAGGCGTGCCACACACTAGTAATGAATAAATATTTTCGCAAATATCGGTAAAATGCCCGAAAACGAATAATAAACTTATTCTAATTTCTTCTACGTCCATGAGCAAGCTACCCCAATAATAATTTATCCATTTATCTCACAATGCAAAGGCCGCCAAAGGCGCCTGTCTACAGTCATCTACAATGCACCAGACATTTTTAGACAATAATTTATTTTTGTGTGCGCTAAATATTATTTGACCGACTGGAAGCGGCCGTCTTTGAATGTGTATAAAAAACATTTAAATTGATTTACGGTTCATCCAAGATTTTAGGCAAGATAATATTCATACGGGGCCTATTTATTTTAAAATTGGGTTATTTTTGTTGGAATATATAGGTATAGTTTATACGAAGTCAATCCGAACAGCATAAAAACTGTTTAGGCGGCATCTTCTTTATGAAATGGAGCATAGGCGTGCCACACACTAGGAATGAATAAATATTTTCGCAAATATCGGTAAAATGCCCGAAAACGAATAATAAACGTATTCTAATTTCTTCTACGTCCATGAGCAAGCTACCCCATTACCCCAATAATAATTTATCTCACAATGCAAAGGCCGCCAAAGGCGCCTGTCTACAGTCACCTACAATACACCAGACATTTTTAGACAATAATTTATTTTTGCGAACGCCAAATCAAAGTCTGCCAAATATTATTTGACCGACTGGAAGCGGCCGTCTTTGAATGTGTATAAAAAACATTTAAATTGATTTAGGGTTCATCCAAGATTTTAGGCAAGATAATATTCATACGGGGACTATTTATTTTAAAATTGGGTAATTTTTGTTGGAATATATAGGTAAATTGAGCTGACTCGGTATGTGACTCTTTTTTTTAGGTGTTCGGATTGACTTCGTATAAACTATACTAAGAACCTCCTAATTTGCATCAAATTGAACTAGAAATTACAAAAGTCGTTGGTCAAATGACAAAAATGATAAAAATCCACACGCGAAAAAGAAACGACTATTTGACCTTTGAAGTTTGTAGCCAAATTATTTCAGTTACATTTCGTTTTGTAGAACTATTCTGCTTATAACAGGGCCGTATCTAGACCAAAATTTTGGGGGGGGTTAGACAAAGTGGCAAAAAAAAATTGTTACACTAGTAATAAAAATTAAAAAAATAAATAAGTATTGGGTTTGAACCCCCAAAACCCCCCCCCCCCCTAGATACGGCCCTGGCTTATAATTAGTGATTTGTAAAGTTTAGAGTGGCAGTAATGGCATATACAGGGTATCCGGAAAGTCAACGATAATACTGAAAGAGCTGATGGAGCAACTCATTAGCACTCAGAAAAACATAATATGACCTTAGTAAAAAATCGATGGTTTCCGAGATATTGCCACATTAATAAAATTCGTATCCTTCACTGTAAGGTCTGTAAGTCTTCACACCAAACTGTTTATTAGAACAATGGGTATAGTTTTAGAAAGTACATTAAATGAGCAAACTTTCCGAATCATAAGCCAGGTTGGCATAGAATTTTTTTGTATGGCATGAGGTGTGAAACTTGAGTGAGGGAAAATAAAAATGAGCCATACTTCACTTCAAAAAGATTTTTTATTAAATGTTTTGAACTTTGACTTTTAATATTGGTCTATGACAAATAGAATGTCTATTCACCATTGCAAAACTAATTCAGAATCAAGAATAATGAAAATTTTGAGGTGACACTCGGAAATCGGATCCAAGAGGACGATTTTAACGAATTTTATTAAAGTGACAATATCTCGGAAACCATCGATTTTTTACTGAGGTCATATTATGTTTTTCTGGATGCTAATGAGTTGCTTCATCAGCCATTTCAGTATTATTGTTGACTTTCTGGACACCCTGTATAAGTACATGTAGTTTTTCTTACTTACAAATCTACGACCGTATAGGTGAAAAACTGGAGGGTATTAGTAGTATGTGGCACCTATCAGTGGGGGGCAGGAGGCATGCAAAATTTCACATTTCTGACATTCAAATGTTATTGTTTCTGACCATGGTTTCTAAAAATTCGGCCAAAACTGTACAACTTTTGTATTTACACCTTTCATCTACTTGTAAAGGTGGAGGCTGTAGGTGGGGTGTCAATATATGAAAAAACATTCTGTACAAATAAGTGGATTATTGCAGAACTTATGGGTGGACCTCTGCGGGACGAGCGCAGCGAGTTCCGCAGCCATCTACTCACCAATATACTGTTGAACTGCTCAAATAAGACACTCATCTGAAACGTGTAGTTTTTGAACTAATGAGAAAAATTCACAAATGAGTGAATCAGGTTAGTATTGTACTTGAACAACATATTGGTGACTAGATGGCTAGGTCCACTCATAAGTTTCGCAACAATTCACTCATTTGTACTTGAATAACTTGTTACATTATGTTACTAGTTTGGTAAAGTAACATTACTAATTCTTGTTGAAAGGCAAATTGAAAAAAAGGCCAATAATCATAATCTTACAAATTTTGACTTTATATAGTAAGTTATTGTTCAAGTACAAATAGGTGGATTATCGCGGAACTTATGGGTGGACCCGCAGCCATCTACTCACCAATATACTGTTGAACTATTCAAATAAGACACTCACCTGAAACTTGTAGTTTTTGAGCTAATGAGAATAACTGAAATTTGAGTGAGTCAGGTTAGTATCGTACTTAAACAACGTATTAATGAATAGATGACTGCGGAACTCGCTGCGCTCTTCTCGCAGAGGTCCACCCAACAATTCACTCATTTGTACTTGAATAACTTGTCACATTATGTTACTAGTTTGGTAAAGTAACCTTACTAATTCCTGTTGAAAGGTAAATTGACAAAAAGTGGATAATCTTACAAATTATGACTTTACATAATAAGTTATTGTTCAAGTACAGGGTATTTTTTTATATATTGACACCCCTCCTACAGCCTTCACCTTTACAAGTAGATGAAAGGTATAAATACAAAAGTTGTTCAGTATTGGCTAAATTTTTAGAATCCATGGTCAGAAATAAAAATTGAATGTCAGAATTGTGAAATGTTGCATGCTTTCAGCTTTTTTCAAATGGGATGCCCTATATTTGGTTTTATATTCTTGAAAAGCACAATTTCCCGATTCCAAAACTATATAGTTCGCCTATATTTGGTTGAGCCGTCTCCAACATATTTGGTTCTAAACATTTTAAAAATACTATCAGAGAAAAAGTACCTCAAATTTTACCTCCAGCTTTCACCTGTGCAGGTAGAATAGTTCACAAAATCAGTAGTAGGATAGTATTTTTACAAGTTTTGGAGCCGAATATATGAGAGACTGTTCATGCAAATATAGACAAACTTGAGACAAACTATATATTTTTGGAATCGGGGCATTGTGCTCTTCAAGAATATAGAACGAAATATGGGGCATCCCATTTGAAAAAAGCTGGAAGCATGCAAAATTTCACATTTCTGTCATTCAAATTCTGTTTCTGACCATGGTTTCTAAAAATTCAGCCAAAACTGTACAACAAATAGTTCCCCCATTCCCATATTTTTATGGGCCATTCCTTCGAAAAACCGTATCTTGCACAATGCGCTGCCAAAACTAACCCAAACTCACCCAATCTGGCTTACTACCTAAACTTCCCCCTCTTTCAAAAGGCCTGTATCCGCCCCTGGCACCTATAGCAGATTGTGCAAAGTGTGAAACATTTTATTGGATGGGGATATTTTGGCATAACAAATTGCATTTTTTTTTAACCTAAGTACCTGATACTTAATTGCAAATTTCAGAGAAATATTCGCATTGAAAGAAGGAGGTAGGTATAGGTACCTAAAGCTGTGGTACCTATCTACCTAACTAACTATAGACGTGACTGGCCCTTAGACTGATACCCCAGAAAATACCTTCTATTAACTATTACTTAATTTAAAAATCAGAGAGTCTCAACTGATTTTATGGCTTCTGAATAACAAAAATTAACTACAGATTCAACACGGAATCAAAGCAAAGAAGATTATTTTTGTGGAGGCGGGTCACTGTTTCGAAATCAAACCTGAAGGCTGTGTCTCATACATAGAGTATTATAAAATGAGGCTTAAAGGATCAGGTTTCGTTGCACTACATAAATTTAAAAAATCAATTCGACATTATAATGAAGCACCTATTACAATATACAGGCGGATACTGGATAATTCTCAGAGAATTTCTTTTGTAGAAGGATTAAACCTTGTGTGATCGTTTTCAGAGAATCCTCCAATACTGAAACATTATAATAATAAGACAATCATCTATTGTAAAGCGACTAATAACTTATAGTTTTATTATTCCCTGTCTAAAAAAATTATTGTTCATATATGGGAGGCAACATCCAAAGCAATAATTATGGTAATCATGGGTTTACCATATTGGACCGTTATGGGTGGGCCAACAATGATTACCTTCTATTTTTCAAAATAAAATTGATGGATATGTTTTTACGGAGGAAAACACATACCCGACAATTATCATACAGATTTAAACCTTTACAGATGGCTCAAAAACACAAGTTGTCAAGTTTATTTATTCTGACCATCATAAATTTCTACATCTGCTAGAAATCCTCCACTTTTCCCAGAATCTACCCAGAAATTTGACAACCTTTAGATTAGTCCCTAAATTATGCACTTTTAGGGTTTCAAAAAGTAATTGATATATTGTTTATTTTGTGGAGTGGATGGTGTCAAAGTTGAGGTTCAATTTATGGGGTGTCACGAAACACATGGGCTTCTTTTATCAAATTGTTGACTTTTTGGTGATAATTTTCTGGGAACCCTCTGTCAAAATTAATTATTATAATGTTGTTTTGACACACCTTGGGTTCGAAAATATTTCTGTTTCAAGCGTGTTGATTGAGTAAATGTGGGATTGATGGTTTACTTTTCAAAAAGACAAGAGATTGGTAGGTATATAATTAGATTAGAAAAACGAGTTGTGAACATCAACTGATGAAAATGTTAACACCTGATTTATTTCCATGGAAATCCTTGAACCTCCACTGTCTTCTGCGAAAATTTGAAAAATTTCAAGTCACTGAAAAAGCAGTTTTTTCTTGGGATAAGATACTTTATAATCCACTCAGACGTGCAAGAACTTTTATGAAATTCTTTGCCAAAGATACACAAACCTTTGAGCTTCTTATGAAACAATATTGTTCATATTTGTATTCTGAATTACAAAATCTTGTTTCTGCTGACTATATGCTTGTTTAAATAATTATTTATATTTACTCTATTGGTTCAAATAAGTGTAATTATTCACAAATTTATGGCATTATTTGAAGAGATTTACTAACATATGAAGATCCAACAGTTTTCAGAATACATACTAAAAGGTGTTAGATTCTTGATTAATTTAGCTTTAGCATTTTTGCTCTTTCTTGTTGGCATCTTTGATTTTAAGTCTCAAACTACCTGCCTTACTGCCCTTACTAGACTAACGTACCGTACTGGTACTAAAGTGTCCGCGACACATTTTAAATACAAAGTAAGTAGTAAATTTTATGCCCATCAAAAACCACCATAATAATAAATCACTTGCCCAACTGAAGCAATAAAATGTTTTATTACAGTACTATATGGTGCCAATTTCGTAACAGAAGAATCACCCAGAGCTTTGCTACCATTAAATGTATATTGTTTTTATTTTGACAATATGATCTTATATCAAATTACCACTGTTTGGTCTGCAAGAAGAATTGAATTTGTTCTTGTGAGGCTTGTTAGTCACTGATGATTTGTAAATAATTTTATCATTGTGACGTGCCAGACAGATAAGAGTCTTAGGTAACATTTGTCGTCTTAAAGTAGCCCTTAGAAGTCATAAAAGGCACTACCTGCCGGGCCATAAGATAAACCAATCCAATTAAATTATGATGAGAACCATTAGGAAGGTGGTTGAACTCTTGAGTCGTTTACATTATTGTCTTAGGTGTTAATATGACATTTTTTTTTTCAGATATACTTATGGAATGTTTAAAAAAGGATACACGAAAGTATTAGAAGTAGAGGATCTTTATAACCCAATTAAGAGTGATAGAAGTACTCTTTTGGGAGATCGACTAGAGAGGTAAGAATAACCATAGACAGCATAATGGGCTCCGATAACATTATCGTAAAAGTGTATAATGACATGTCAAGCAGTAAATGTAAAAATGTCAACTTTTTATTAACATTACATGGCCGATAAATAGCAAAATAATGGCCGATGATGAAGTTTGGAATTCGCTGTTATTTGCAATTATCGTTTTTTTACCAAATTTTTTCGTAGCTACGATTTTGCAAACAATATGCTTTTTTCAGAACAAATTTAGTTACTCTTACAGAAAATAAAGTATACCTTTCCAATTCCATTTCTGATAATTAATGTTATAGGTAGGTATGTACCTAATATAGATTGCCAGTATATACAACAGTATGGGGACAAGGGCATGCAGTTAAAATTTTCGCGGCAGTTAAAATGCGTTTATCAATTATCGACTGATCATGTAATTCGAAACCCTCGGCCTTATTTACTTTGTGGCCGAGTTCGTTTTTGTCATCTTTTTCGTCGATTTGCTCCGAAATTTTGACAGGCACGTGACTGGATAAGACAGTTTCAATTTACAAATCAGGTGCCTGTCAACACGGAGCAAATCGACGAAAAAGATGACAAAAACGAACTCGGCCTGTATCGGCCTTGTCACGTTAATAACCATAACAATCTCACAAACAACCATTTCGACAACATCTGAGACTACCTATATTTCCGTTTTGCTGAAAACTACTAAAAAAATCATTCTACTTCTATTTTGTAATCTCTATGCCGTAATATGACTACGCAATTTCGAATCTGTAACAAAAATATACCGCCAACGAAATATAAATAAGTGCGGTTCTAGAAATAGATAAGATTATTTACATTAAATAATAGACCATCTGTTTCTGTTTTGCAAGTGCAACATTTTGCCGCACTAATAAATTTGATCTTTTATATTTTTTTACTAGAGTGGGTTTAAGTCGCATTTCTGTGAATAGGGAAATGTGCGAGGTTTTCTATTTTCAATGTCATTGACAGTATAGTTTAACTTATATAACTTAAATTGTGCAATATAATATATGAATGTGAAAATGAACTTGAAGTTCAATAAATTCTTCATAGAACTACAATAATTTCAATTTGTGGAACAGGGACTTCCAGTCATAGTCATAAGTTGACAGTTCCTTGAGGGGCACCTAAGCTTGGTCACGATTGCTTTGTACAAGAAAAGCTTTGGCGTCTTCCTTGACCGAATAGTCACGTGAAAATTTATTCCATCAAGAATATCGTCCACATCTGGGAAATTATCCAAAGCAAAAACGAATAACAGATCCCATATGAACTATATTGGACCAGGATGCAGTAATATGGATAATACGAAACCGTTCGGTTTATCGATACCTTACTTTTAATCGTGCAAATACATTTCTACCATGTTGTAATAATATAATTACTGTAAAAACATCTTCAGTTAGCTAGGTACTTAATCCACTCTAAATTTTTTACTTTCTTGAGCAGGTCTATATTCATATTTAGATCGAATTCCTGTCGAATTATCCTTAGAAGAATTCATTTTCTTCTGCACTAGGTGGACATGAATCAAGCGAAATGGCCTCCTTTTTACTGGATATTTTCTAAATAGAAGGTTCTTCTTCATCCTCCGAGCTCTGATTTTCTTCTGAGACATCCTCTTCTGAGATGTTTATATCCTAGTTCTTTATCCTCGTCTCTTGCTAATTTTTAACTGGTTTTTGTCTTTCAACGATTGCTTATTAACCCTACCAGACCTAGGTCTATCTTCTCGTAAGTCACCGCAAAAATTAAAATAATAAGATTCAAATCCTATTCATCTCATTTATCCATGTCCTTGATAGAAAAAAATCTTTGCGGATCAACCCTCTCTACCCAGATCATCTCACCACAGGGAGTGAAATCATGAAACATCCTTCGCCTTACGCGTGTCTCTTGCAAATCATAAAAATGAATGGGTACCAATGTATAATCCGTGTAGCAGGTATGATAAGATTATACGACGAATTGTGGTCAAGACCAGCGTATTTAGTTAAAGGCAATATAATTAGATTTGTCTGTTCACCTTAGGGCTGGTTTATTTACCTTCTGATAAACTGTCAGTTATGCAATCTAACAGATAAAAACGCAATCTTTAATCCCGTTGGTCGGCTATAGTTATCTGCTGAGCTATAGAATTATGAAATGGTAAATTTATGCTATCGAGTTTCCAGCAAGTTTATCTGAATATGAATAAACTGAACCTTAGGAAATAGCTTCTGGATTAATATTATATTACCCCAAGGGCAAGTTGCTAAGGAATAATGATATAAGACAAAATTATCATCATAACTGCTAAGCTAAGCTAATTCTTGGTCTAGTATGTAACCTCTGATTCATGGCTCAATGACAAAATAACTTTTTCCTCCCACCTGTCCGACTTATTGTCCCCATGTAGAACTGAAGGCTTATTGTACTTAGCCTGCTTGCTTTATTCCAACTACTCCAGTATTTTGGTGCCCTGTATGTACAAGGTTACACAGGTCTTTTACTGGGTGGTATTTCATTATTGTTTTCGGGACTAAGTTTGGTTGCCCGAAAATGCTATGACTTCTGCGATCCAGTGATTTACAGTTTACGAGGATATGTCTGGCTGTCTCAGGTTCCTTATTGCAGAGTCTGCAGTTAAGGTTTTCGTCATACAAATTCATCCTGCCCAGGTGGACCTTTACCGGTGTGTGGCGGTGGCCTGTCATAATAAGGCCCGTTATAGCCTGATTTGTAGCATTTCTGCGGCCCTTCTTCTGCATGGTTGGTCGGTGAACTCCCTACTTGATTCTGCCTGGAAGTTGTCCAGTAGTGTCGATGTTATTTACGAACCCAGTCTTTGATGTAACTTCTGGGCATACATTTTGGTATCCCTAAAGAAGGCTCTGGTCCCATAAGTTTTGTTGCTGATCCTCTCTTTGCGAGTTCGTCAGCTTTTCCACTGCCTTCGATTACTTCTGTGTCCTGGCATCCAGATAAGCAAGCTTTACCTCATTCTGGTCCGCCAGGGCCCTGATGTCTTCCTGACATTCCCATACTAGTCTTGATGACACTATCTCGCTCGAAAGGGCCTTCAGTGTCGCTTGACTGTCGGACATTATAGAAATCTGCCTATCGGCTACGGCTCTCCTGTTATTCTCTGCTGCTCTCCTGTTATATATCTCTGTCTGAAAAGTAGAGGCATGCTCCAGCAGTGCATAGTGATTGCTGTAACTGGCGGAGTATACTCTGGTACCAGCCGTAGTCTGCGACCCGTGGCCCCGGAGTCTCATGCATCCGTTTTCCGACGAAAGATGTCCGAAAATCCTTCTACTCTAACATATTTTTATACGATTATGTCAGAATAGAAGGTTTTTCGGACATCTTTCGTCGGAAAACGGATGCATGAGACTCCGGCTTAAGGCCCCAGGTCTGGTACTGCTTTTTGGTCTCCGGTATGCCCTGTTCCCATTGTTCTGAATATGTTTTTTACGCTTGGTATAAATCCATTGTGGAACTATTTTCGAAGGTATCTTGACTAACGTATTATTTTGGCTTCTGTAATCAGACATATTAAGGTCTGTTTCCACAGAAATCACAAACCAGTCAGAGCGTTTTTGATTTATCGCCAGCAGCCAGTTTCCTGACTATTTTTAACCAATGAAATAAAAGTAGAGTATATTCAATAAAGAATGCAACAAGAGCAACTCTCAACTTAACATCACACATTTAATAATAATTCGGGTATTTTGCATTAGGTAGGTACCTACATAAAATATTCTCGTATATTATTATCCAATCTCATATAATTTTATACAGGCTATCCTAGTTTCAAAAGTATCTGGCACTGGCAACCCTAGAATGACGGATTTTGATTTCAATTCATTTAGAAAAGAATTAGAAAAAATGTGCAGAGTGATAAATTACTTAGACTAGAAATCCTAAGAATCTTTTTTAAAGAAAAATAGGAAATTTGGAGAAGAATGATTCTGGATTTTGGACCCAATGATTATTCCAGCCTTCTCCAGAAAAAAAGCGGAAAATTAGGAAAGAAACGATCAAGAATTTAAAATTTGATCCTAAAATCCTCATTCAAGAACGAAGAAAATCGATCAAGACTCAAAGATTCTTCCAGTATTTTCCATAGAATAAGCGGAAAATTAAGAAAAATGAGACCAAAATGGAAGAGAAAATTTAATAAAAGTGGGAAATTCAGGAAAAAATTAGAATGAAATCGAGTGACAAGTAAAAATAACAATATTCTCTTCATTCCAGGCTCTAATTCAAGAGCCAGGAATAAACAAAAACTGAGACGAGAAAAAAAGAAAAACTGAGAGAAAATACCTTTTGACTTACATTTTAGAGTACTTTGAAAAATCATAACTCCAAGTCTGTTGTAGGTAAAAAACTGATTCAGGATCTGCTACAAAGTTTTGTCAAGAAAATACCAACGAATTTAGAAAGTTTGCAATATTCAGGATCTTAAAAGCCTTCTTAAAGAATTTTTTTTTGCAAAAAATTATTCTTATGATAATGAAGATCCATAGAATCGACTTACAAAGAAGAACAAAATATTTCTAAAAACACGATTACAATTTGAGAGATTTTTAGGATCCTTGAAACCGTTTCAGAGGAATGACAGATTCAGGATTTTGAGAGTTTTTGGAGAAGAATCAAGAAATTTGTAAAGCAAGCAAGGATTTAAAATTTCAAAAATAAGTTCTGAAGAATTGGAAATTATTCCGTAGAATCTTTTGAAAGAAAAGGAAATTTGCAAAGTAAGAACGTAGAATTCAGGATTTAAAGTTACTAAAGTTAATCCTCATAGAAACACCAAGAAATTGTTACGGTTTGCAAAATTTAAAAGGCATCTTGAAAAAAAAAACAGATCATTTGCAATATAATCGAATCAGGATCTTGAGACTCCAAGAATCTCTTCTAAGAAGAACCAGGAATTTTGCAAATTAATTTAGTAGGTAATGGCTTTTGATTAAGGATCCTGATAGTTATATTATAAAGAAGATGAGTTCAGGATCTTCCAGAGACCAAGATCTTGCAAGCATTCTTAAAGAAAAATCTTTGCAAGAAACTATTAAAAAAAGATCCTTAGAATTGACTTTTAAAGAAGAACACAGCTTTATTTTGGTTTCACTTAGAACCAGTTCGGAGTTATTCTGCACATGCGCATGTTATAAAACACGTTTTCGCTTTTTCAGAATCGTAATCGAACTGTGTTGATAGAGTTTTGGTTTATTTAGAACTATACAAGAACAATTCTGGGATTGTTCTAGAACGGTTCTCTCAGTTCTTGTCCTGCGGCTTGTTTTGGTTTTTTTGGTTCCGAATCGGTTCAGAGATTAGAACAGTTCTTCCTTATTTTTTGCGCGCAAGCAGTTCTGCGCAATCCCAGAACCGTTCCAAATTTCTAACCAAAACAAAGTTAATATTCCCAAAAACACAATTAGAATCTGACAGGCTTTTAGGATCTCTAGTACCGTTTCATTGAATTAAGTACCTACCAAACAATTTGCATAGGAATGAGTCAGGGTTGCCAGACCTCCTATCTTTAATATGAGACTCCGCCCGTATCCACTAAAATCAATTTAGCGATCTGATAGCTGTCAGTCTAATTATGAAAAAATAAACGGAGCAGCTAACTTTTCTGGTTGCGAAAAGGAAATTCTAATTTCTTCGGTTGAGAAATATTTAATCGGGAATACGAAAACCAATGCAGTGTCATTGTTGTGAAACATTGAAATGGTCACCGCAATACAGAGTTGAAAAGACCCCGTTGCAATTAAAATCTGAATTTTTTTAAATTGGTTTATTTCTTTCATCCGCAATGGCTCCAAAACTTGGTTCAGAGTTCAGTAGTAGGTTTATTTCCAGCCTTTGAAAGCTATTTTTGTTTATCCTGAATCTTCTATGGAACTCCAAATCATCCAATTCAGTGAATAAATCATTCTTTCCCTCACATTTCTGGGCCTGGGAAGAGCTTCATCTGATGGATCATCCGATGAACTTCCAAAAAAATTCAGGTCAATTTCATCCATCCAGGGTGAATGCTGGGTCTTTGAATGTAAACCATAACCATCAATCCATTCCAAACATAGCCTCCGTGAAGTTTCTTGGAGTCCACATTGATTCTGCTTTGAGCTGGGAGCAATAACACATTACAAGCCTGCAATGCAGACTGAATAGCGCAAGTGCCTTGATACGCAGACTTCGAGACAGCATGTCTTTTGACTGCATCAAACTTTTCTACTTTGCTTATGTGCAGTCTCAGATAAATTATGGAATTGCTATTTGGGGAGCATCCAGATACTCTGATGAGATTTTTGAAGCTCAAAAAAGAATAATTAAATTTATGCTACATCTTCATCCCCGAACTTCTTGTAGGCCTTTCTTTGATGGCTTGAATATACTTACTGTGCCTGGAATGTATTTTGTCGCACTGGTAACTTTTGTCAAAAAAAATTAACACCTTATTGCAACCAATCAAGATGGCTATGCCAATAATATTGGTATAATTACCAGAGGTAGGGATGAACTCCGCATTCCCACACATCGCTCCACATTTTTTAAAAGAGGCCCTTATTATCGGGGTGTCAAAGCCTACAGACTCCTGCCGGCTGATATCAGGAATATGGTGGAAATTGGGAACTTCAAAACAGCGGTCTTACAGTTTGGGAGGGATAAATGTTTTTATTCTTTTAATTTTTAGACTGTTATTGTATATTTGATCTTTTACCAATTTATGCTTATTATTATAATTAATAGTTTTTATCTTTATGTAAAATTTTGTTTTTCTACTTTTTAAATTTTAAATTCTGATGTTAGTATAATTGACGTCCTATTTTTGTATGTGTGTTTGGATCCTTTTGTACTCAACACAAAACTTTTGTAACGTTGCTTTTTCATGTATTTGATTTCATTGGCAAGAAGGAAATAATTAAAATTAATAAATAAATAAATTCGCTCCGACTGGTTTGTGATTTCTGTGAAAACAGACCTTATAGTTTTTGGATAATCTTAAGCCTATTACATCTGAGGTCGCATTTTGACACATTATCAATTATCAGGGCTCATGTGGCTAGGAATAACTAAGGGAAAAAAAGCTAGTGTTTGTAGACAAAAAGCAACTCTTTATATCTTCAGACACTTAGTTGAGTTTCCTCCCTTTGTTTTTCCTAACCAGGATGAGGATGCACAAAATCGTCGAATAGTGGTGTGGTCATACCATAGATGGTCACACAGCAATTAGCCTACACCGTACGTAGAACACATTTCAAAAATAATATTTTCCTTTTTAGAGCCTGGAATAAGGCATACGGAAAGGCCAAACACAAAAGCAAAAATCCTAGTCTTCTATGGGCCATAGCAAGAGCTTTCTGGCCTGAATACACAATTTTAGGAGTAACATTAACCGCAATGGAAGTCTTCAGTTTAGCTCAACCAATATTACTCGGCCAGTTATTGACATATTTTCGAAATAATACGGATTTAACGAAAGAAGACGCCCTATGGTACGCTGGAGGTATAGCATTCAGTTCACTATGCGGTACGCTCTTGTCCAACCAGTATATTATGGGAGCTTTTCATTATGGTATGAAAATAAGAGCGGCTTGTTGCGCGTTGATTTATCGCAAATCTTTGCGTCTAAGCAAAACTGCTCTTGGTGAAACTGCCTCAGGAAAAATTGTCAATCTTTTGTCTAATGATGTGAGCAGATTCGACTTGGTTACTATTTTTGTTCATCACATGTGGATATCACCGCTCGTTACTCTTATTATTACATTTTTAACGTGGAATGATGCTGGATGGGCCGGAATTATTGGAATACTTACCGTATTTCTTATTGTACCCATCCAAGGTATGGATTTTTTTGTATTATTTTAAAACAATCTTCAAAAAACATTGTTATAGGATACACTGGAAAACTCTCAGCCGTTTACCGTAAAGCCACAGCTTTAAAAACCGACGAAAGGGTGCGACTCATGGACGAAATTTTGTCTGGGATTCAAGTAATCAAAATGTATGCTTGGGAAAAACCATTCAATAAACTAATCCGATATGCGAGAAAATCTGAATTAAAAATCATCACTAAATCCTCATACGTGAGAGGATTGTATATGACTTTTAACTTGTTCACTACAAGATTAGCTTTGTTTGCTACTTTACTTACTATTGTGCTTATGGATCAACCTATCACAGCTTCCAAGGTAAGTTACTACACTACTTCACTCCAACCTTTACCTTAATTAACAAATATTCTTTTCTCTAGGTATTCGTCATAATGTCTTATCTAAATATTGTCTCTCAAACAATGTCGCAAATGTTCGTCCGTGGTATTTCAGAAATGGCCGAACTATTCGTAGCCATCAAACGTCTAGAAGAATTCATGTTGAACGATGAGTACGTTTCAGTGGTTCCACGTAAAAACAATAACGAATACGTAAGCAATAAGCATTTGGTCCATCTGCAAGATTTGACAGTGAAATGGAACGCAAGACTGAGCGATAATGCTTTAAATAGCATAAATTTAGATGTAAATAAAGGTGATTTGGTTGGCATCATTGGACCAGTTGGTAGTGGAAAAAGCTCCCTCTTGCAAACTATATTAGGAGAGCTGGAGCTTGTTGATGGTAAAATAGAAGTTAACGGTACCATTTCGTATGCTTCTCAAGAAGCTTGGGTGTTTGCTGCAACCGTTCGTCAAAATATTCTATTCGGCTCTGAATATGACAAAAAAAGATACACTGATGTAGTTAATGCTTGCGCTTTAGCAAAAGATTTCGAACAATTTTCCAATGGGGATTTAACTATCGTAGGAGACAGAGGTGCCTCATTGTCGGGAGGACAAAAAGCTAGAATAAACTTGGCCAGAGCTATTTATAGGGAAGCTGATATTTATTTGTTGGATGATCCTTTATCTGCAGTTGATATTCACGTGTCCAAGCATCTTTATGATTTATGCATCAATGGATATCTTTATAATAAAACTCGAATATTGGTTACTCATCAGGTACACCATTTGAAGGATGCTGATCATATTGTTATTTTGAATAATGTAAGTTGAATGATAATGAAGAATTGATAGTTCAATTTAGTTGTATTTTATCCAATTCCAGGGTCGTATTGAGAATGAAGGCACTTTCAGCAGTCTATCCGGAAGTGATAATCTCTATGCCAAACTTTTAACATCCGAGCCAGAATTTACTGAAGAAGAAAAACAGAAAATTACGGATTTCGCTAAGAAGGATCGAAAAATGTCTATGAAAAGTATAAAATCATTGGCTAGTGCCATGAGTGAGTTGAGCATACCAGAAGCCATTTTGGCTGAACAGGAACAGGACTCTGAAGAGGTAATTTGTTTTCTATATTATGTAGGCACTAGGCACATAACTTTATATTCATTGTTCAGTGTTTTTTCAATAAGTACACCAAAACGCATAGTCACATAATATGATTTTTAAAAAAATATACAGTTTGAAAGAAAAATAATCATATAGGTACCCACCCCACAACGGTTTTTAGGAAAATAGACGAAGGTTTGAAATATCTACAAAACTGGACGATCTTCAAATATAGGTTTCAATTTTTTAATTACATGTGTGTGCTATGTACCTATATATTCAAAGGAGCCTTTAGGATGTTAATAAGTTAACCAGAAGGTCTACAAAGAATTGCAATTTTCAATTCTTGATCAAAGACCTTCAATCCAGAAATCTCCACTCAAGTCTCTATTTTTTCACAATAATTCGTATTTATTTTGTCTCCTTCTTTTACCAAGAGTATATTGGAACTGAACAACAACTTCGACTAGTTTTTTGAGAAATCCTTTTTGATATATCTACATATGCTTGTGATTTTGGTTCTCTATCCTTCTGCTTCACATCTATTATTTTCTCTGCCCACCATGAGGTTTTCTATTTGTTTTCAATCAATAACCAAATCTTATAAATGTTCAATTGGCTTTTACTTTATTATCTACATCTTCTTGCTATCCGTCACTTTTTGTTATTTTTTAACCTAATCCCGTCTTATGTTTCAGGAAGAAGAAAGAGAAATTAAAATGAAAGATCTCCAAGAAGAATCCTCGAAAGGCAAAGTGAAGGGCAACTTATTCCTCAAATACTGCCAAGCTGGTGGTAACATTTGCTTCGTTTTCATGGTATTTTTACTCTATTTGCTTACCCAAGCCGCTGCCATGTGTGTTGACTATTTTGTAACCTTCTGGGTAAAAACCGAAGAATACAAGACAATAAACTTCAGTTTGAATTCAACCACAAACTCTACAGATGACGTTGAAGTAGTTAATACCTCCCCTTATCCTTTCGACGCAATTCATTGGGAGAAAACCCTATTTTTGTACATTTACATAACTTTAATTGTGGGTCTATTCCTTCTTGCTCTTCTTAGATCCATGTCTTTCTACAAATTAGCCATGATTAGCTCTCAGAAACTCCACGACAGCATTTTTTCAAGCGTAATCAATGCTTCAATGAGATTTTTCGATACCAATCCCAGCGGAAGGATACTTAATAGGTTTTCAAAGGACATTGGGGCTGTGGATGAGTTGCTTCCAAAAGCTATTTTAGATGCCTCACAAGTAAGAGAATCATAAAAAGCATAATAATTTAAATTCATTGATTATTTTTTTCAGCTTATTCTTATGTCTTTAGGCTCGATCATTTTAATCACAGTCGTAAATCCAATATTTTTGGGTCTTGTAGCAATTATTGGAGTAATTTGTTTGGTGTTTAGGCATGTTTATCTGAGGACTTCCAAGAACATCAAACGTTTGGAAGGAATTAGTAAGTATTTGTTTTATCTTAACAAATTAGAATTTATTTACAAAATATCGTTTTCTAGTGAGGAGTCCCGTTTTTACTCATCTCAACGCTACTTTGAACGGTTTAACAACAATCCGAGCTTTCAAAGCCGAAAGGATTCTTAGAGATGAATTTGATAGGCATCAAGATTATCATACGAGCGCCTGGTTTATGTTTATAGCTGCCAGCTCGTCTTTTGGATTTTACATGGACTTACTGTGCTTTGCCTTCATTACTCTGATTACTTTCAGCTTTTTGGTGTTCTCAGAGGGTGAGTTTACATTTTGTTTTCAAGAGGTTTTTCTAATATTTTTAAGGAATCTGAAGCTGACTGTTCTAGTGCATTTTCATTTTCATTTGAGATTGTTGGATCTATGCTTGTTCTAAAAAAGTCAAAAACGACAATCGGATCTCCTAAAATAAATTATTTCTTCAACAGATATCGACATGACCGGTGGTGATGTCGGTCTAGCAATCACTCAAGCCATCTCCCTCTCGATGATGGTCCAGTGGGGCCTACGTCAGTCAGCTGAAGTGGCCAATCAGCTCATGTCGGTAGAAAGAGTTCTTGAATATACGCAATTACCTTCGGAAAAGCAACCGAGCATCCCGAAGCAGCCTCCCAAAAACTGGCCTGCCAAGGGAGAAATTAAGTTCGAGGACATGGGGTTGAGATACGACGAATTTGGAGCTCTGGTGTTGAAACAACTGAATTTGAAGATAGAACCCAATGAGAAGGTGAGGATTTATGTAATTTTTATCCTCGTAGTGATTGTGAGTGTTTCATGTCTCTCATAGCTTAGATGGATTTTTTTCCAAAGATTGACGCTTATACAGGGTGTAACAGAATAACACCGACACACGTTAAGGGGTGGTAGGGTAGGTCAATACAAGTAATTTGACATAGGGAACATGGAACATGGGGTCGCAGATGCACCCCTACGGTTGATCCGGTCAGCGTCAGACTTAAAAAGTTAGTCAGTATTTCCCTAGGGGTGCATCTGCGACACCATGTTTCCTATGTCAAACTTGCATTGACCTACCCTACCACACCTAAACGTGTGTCGGTGCTATTCCGTTACACGCTGTATAGCAGCATCTATTTGGTACCTATATTCTAATCTGTTGGACAAAAATATCAACAACAAAAAAAGTAATCAGTGTTCTGTAGAATTTTTTTTTATCCTGTGTTCATATATGAATAATGAAGAAATCCTTTCGTTTCTCAGATTGGTATTGTTGGCAGAACAGGCGCAGGCAAATCCTCCCTAATCTCTGCCCTATTCCGCTTGGCCCCAGTGGAGGGAGCCATCAAAATTGACGATATAGACACCAAAGATATTCACTTGGAACAACTACGTTCTCATATTTCCATCATCCCTCAAGACCCTGTACTATTCTCAGGTACTCTCCGTTACAACTTGGATCCGTTTGAAGAATATCCTGATGATGTTTTATATAAAGCCATTGAAGATGTTGAACTTAAAGATCCAGCTAATATTATTAATAGATTAGAGAATAGAGTGATGGATGGAGGTGCGAATTATAGTGTGGGACAGCGACAGTTGATTTGTTTAGCTAGAGCCATCGTCAGGAATAACAAGATTTTGATGTTGGATGAAGCCACAGCTAATGTAGACCCACAGTAAGTATACACAACATATTTGCAGGAAAATCTCCTTCAAATTGAAATTATACGTTTCAGGACAGACAGTTTGATTCAAAAAACCATCAGAAGAAAGTTTGCCAATTGCACAGTACTCACTGTAGCGCATCGTCTCAACACAATAATGGATTCGGATAAGGTGCTGGTAATGGATGCTGGTACAATGATTGAATTTGATCATCCTCACAATCTTCTGAAAAACCCTAACAGCGTTTTCAATCATATGGTGGATGAATCTGGTAGAGGCTTGTCAGAACAACTTAGAAAAATTGCCAAAGATAGTTTTCAGAGGCAATTGAGTTTACCTGAATAAAAAATAGTTTTTAGGAATTTACGTAACAACTGAATTGATTTTTTGTACCAATTCTTACAAATTTCCTACTTAATTTTTTACAAATTTACTACTTACTTAAATTTTTTACAAATTTTACACCAGTGTGTGTATCTACTTAAGGTTTTATGTAAGGTGTTTTTGTTTTAACAAATTAGAAATTGAACTAAAAAATTGTTAAGTACGATATTTTCCCAATTCCTAAATGTAGATAAGTATCAATTTTTATTTTATTGATTTTATAGATTTTTTTTTTATACATTTTTAAAAATATTAAACAATCAAAATAGCAGCAACATATCTTATGGAATAAAAGTGGCATTATTGTATCTTCTCATTCTACGATGTTAACATACTTTTAAATACTGTGATTACTTTATTGAGTATTTTAATAAATAATTTATTACAGAGTGATTCAAAAAGTATAAAATATAATATTTTTTTGAAAATCATCTTGTAAAATTATAGACTTTTTATACAAGTATACCTAGTGCGTTAGTTATTGGTGCTACAAATAATAAGCATGGGCATAGATATATTTTTTAGGAAATTAGTTAAAATCTGCATACAGGGTTTTTTTGATTCATACCGTATTAACTGTTTAATGTAATTTTTAATTATCTAGCAGTACGTTTTTAATTCTCATGATAGGGTAGCTCGAGGGGTAGCTACTCTTCCAGATATTTAGCTCAAATTAGTATGCTTACTTGGCAGCATATACCTACCTACTTTAAAGCAATTATTATTTTATTACCTAGATATTTTGTTTTGTAATTTTAAAATTATTTTATGTTCCTTCTCATTTAATTTTTTAGGATTTAAGTACCTATTAAAATATTGGTTTTTAATCATTTTTAAGGTGCTCAATCAACCAATTTTTTAATGAAACTTCTAGATATAGTTATAACATAAATACATACATACATATTATATTTTATTGTTAAGTACTTATATGGTGTTTTCTAAAAATGTACATAAAATACAAATTCATATAAATTATTTGCTGTTTCTTTCATTCATATACTTTAACATTGGTTTGCAGCGAAAAATCCATGGGAACTGGATTTTTGTAGGCATAATACCTACGCACGCCTTTGGAATGGGACGAATCTTTATTCCCACAAGACTTGGCATATCAGAATAGAATCAAAATAGTTTGATTACAAACAATGGAAAAAGCAAAAGCTACTTACCTACTGAAAAATCTTACAAAATCTGGCCGTTTGGTAAATACCTAATAAAATTCTTAACCGAGAATTATCCTGGAAATTACAGAAGAATCGAAGTGCTATATGAAAGCAGCTATTAGGCTTAACAAATTATATATTTATATTTGTCTAACAATTCTTTCTCAATTTGCATTGAATTCACTTTTTATTAAAATTGAAATTATTCTCGGCTCTTGAATTGCCTCTCTCCAGGAACGTTTTGTTTCAATGGAATTTAACCCTTTCCCTTCTTCTTCATTTATTTAAGCTAGGACAGCTGTATTTTTATTCTGTTCTGCACTTTTCAAAAGTTTAAATGAGTAAATGATCAGGGCGTCAGTTAGTTGTGAATCAGACAGTATATAAGCTACCTACCTGTTATGTATTAAAACGCAAACGACTTCACGGAACTTACATATTTACATATATACAACTTACATATTTACATATTACATATTTTATTAATTCGGTCAAACCAATGACATCTTGGTCAAACCATAGACGGTCAAACAATAATAAAATATGGCATAAAATGCCGAGACCTCGAACAAGGATGTCAACATACCCGACTGAGTGACATACTCACTGACTAAATGACAAAAATGACAGTTAGGTACGTTCATGAATGAATTCTTAAATATAACATTTCTCTCCTCGTTCATCAAAGATTTACCTTCAAGGGGGTTCAACAAATCTTCTCGAACGAGTATGCATTCTTGAGGAAGCTGATACAGAATTCTCTTCCTGAATATGTACAACCTCGATAATCCGAACTAATTATTGCTAAGGTCAGTTCGGATTACCGATTTGTTCGGATTATCAAAATGCGTAACTTAGGTTAGACGAGTTAAAACAGTTATGTAATTGACCTTTTCAATTTAAAAGCTTCTCTCTCTGGCGTCAAACTGTCAGACGCCAGAAGAGTATGAAAACAACGGTTGACAGCCGCTGACAGTGGCTTGTTGACAAGACTTTTGTACATGTGGAAACTGGAAACTAAAATTTCTTCGGTTTTTTCAAAGTTTTTTCCTAACAATAATGATTGTGTAGTGTGCCTTTTCGTAAAAATAATTCCTATTTACCGGCGGACGTGTCTTTCCATAAGTTTCCATCAAATCCCACATTTATCAAACTTTGGATACATAAAATCAGAAAGAATACTCGCAAAAAAAAGGGAAATCCACGGCCTATCAAGTATACAAAGTAATCCACGTTCAAGTTCAGTTTGCGGGAGCTGTTTGCTCCCAAAATAATCCACCGCTTTCTCCATAGCGAAGTTCTGCAAATGAAATAGTGACTTTTCCCACATTTTCTTTCAAAACACCCAATACACACTGGCATTGACAAGCAAGCAAATGTTGGCGGGAAAATGATTGTTTTCATACTTATTGTCCATCTCTTTTAATTGAAAACGTCAATTAGGCAATTCAATCCATCTGTCAAAAAGGAAAATTCAATGTGGTGTGGCGGCCAAGCAAGTTTGTTTTCAATATGTTTTTATGCGTATTTTAAATTATTTTGCATACAGTTTTGCTTACAACTTTAATTTTCGTTATTTAATAAAATATTTGTTGACTAGGTACCTAAACTATTAATTCGGGCAGAAACTAATAAAAAAAAAAAATTAGATATTTTTTGGTGCTTTTGGCCCATGTGTGGCCGCCACGCCATCTTGAATGTCACGTGGTTTGAATTGCCTAATGTACTTTTTTTTGCTTCATACTGGATGCTTCTCCCATTTCCGCCTTCTCTTTCATTTCTTTGAAGGCCGGTTTATTCACCTTCTGATAAGTTGTCAGGTATGCAATCTGACGGATAAAAAGGCAATCTGTAATCCCATTGGTCGGCTAGTTATCCGCCGACCAATAGAATTATAAAACGGTAATTTTATCTAGCAGATAGTTAGGTATCAGAAAGATGGATAAACCGAGCTTTAGAAGAAAAATGTTCTCAGCTGTTTCAGAATTTTGTTCTGCTCATTTTAAACAAGTCTGAAAACATTTTACTGCTTCTCTGTGAGTCACGTTGGTCGGTACGATTTCTTCAGATTCTTTTTCGGATTCTTCTGATCCGGCTTTGAGAACATTATTACGTATTAAATTTTACGTGGCGCGCGTAGGGTAATGCGGTTTTCAGCAGTTGTTCAGATTATCAAGATTTAATTGTTCGGATTATGCCTTCGAGCGTTCGTTGTTCGGATTAGGGGAAGTTCGGATTAACGCATGGTCGGATTATCGAGGTTGTTCTGTATTTGGTTGGAGTGTTGTGTACAAGAGAATAATTATAACAATTGACACTATCCGGTAAACAAGTTATAGCCTCTTTTGGAAAGGGGGGTAAGAGGCATTTGCTAGACAATGTCGGCAGTAGGTACGCTTTGTTGAACACTAATGGCGTCGTGATTTTCATCGCACTTTCATTCTAGGTACTAGGCTGTTCATTTGTACTTGCTACTTGCTTCGAAAAATCGGCAAGATCTGCTATTTACTTAGCTTATTATGGGAGTTATGGGACAAGTGAACGCCGATCAGCTGCTGAGATCTGCTTGAAGCAAGAAAAGCAGTACAAATGAACAGCCTTTACACAAATCACTGGGTTCTGTAAGCACGGCAGCTTGATTTGAGCGCAACCAATCAGAATGCACAAATTCTATACAATTTTCCATCTTAATATGAAATAAACTCTCTGACTTTTATAAGTGATGATGAATCTAAATCTTTATTAGTTTCACCAGCAATATCACTAGAATTCAACGGTATTTGATCTATGGAATTGAAAGAACAAAGATAGTCAGGTCCAGGGACCTCAATTTTATCATGACAAGGTAGGCGAGACAGCCCATCCGCGTTACTAATTGAAAACCCCTTCTTATATTGATTTTCATTTTGGTATCCTAACCCGGCATTACACGCGCCAAAAAACTTACGTCATTACACGCGTTCGGTCAAATCGACCGACTGCGCAAAAGTTTATATGAATTATTAGTTTTTTCCGCGGAGACGATCCCAAACGTATCCTGAACTCTAAGGCATGACCTACGCAGGTTTACTAATCAATAGAGACATGAAACTTCCAAATATTACCGTCGTAAATCATGCCTTAGCGTTCAGGATACGTTTAGAATCGTCTCCGCGAAAAAAGTGTACAAGCATTATAATTTCTAAAATTCATAATCATTACAAAGGGAATTATATTATGCAGTACAGTTACAGTATTATCGACAGTCAAAAGTACTCCCAATATTAGAAAATGCCAATTTTGAACACAAATATTTTAGATACTTACCGGCTATTAAAACAACAAACTATACTTCAACCAAAAACCAAAATATTTTTGGGTCAATGGGTAGTGGAAAACCTGCATCAGGCATTGGATGGACAAAACTGCCACCCTTGTACCAGTGGCTTAATTAATGATTTTATCAATGGTCGGTCCTTTTGACCGACACGCGTGTACTCCCGGGCTAACAACATGACAGCCCACCGCATGATTTTTGACGCAGCCGATGTTGGAATACTTGTATTTTTCTCAAAAAATAAACTGAAGGGGCTGGTGATCAGTCACCAATACAAACTTTTGTCCATAAACAAAAAAACTTTAGTGCTTGAAGCAAAGAGCACAGATTGTTAATTTTATAGCTCAGGACACAACCTACCCCATAACTATTTATTGCGTCACAGGTGACATTGGAAAAGCTAGATTAAAATGTAGATACTAACACACTGTCCGACGTTAGCCATTCTTTACTCCGAGGGAAAATATTTTGACATTCCTTGGACCAATTCTCAGAAAAGTTTACATTACTTTGACACAAATTGTAAAGAGGTTTAAGTTTAGAAGACAACATTGGAATAAATTTCCCATAATAAGTTATCAAACCTAAACAGGATTTAAGTTCAGTTAACGCAGCAGTTTCTTATCAACAGAAGGATGAATATCACTAGCATCCACTGCAAGACCGAGAAAATTTACTCTTGTTTCAAAAAACTTACACTTTCTAGAATTTACTTTTACATAAAATTTGTACAGCCGCTCAAAAACTTTTCTTACATTCTCATAACAATTTGTTAAAGACGATCCAAACACTAAGATATCGTCCAAATAGCATTTGTTATTGGAAAAGCCAGACAAGATGCTGTCCATTACTGATTGAAATATACCAGGTGCGGAGCTAACATCATTAGTTTACATAGAAAATGCATAAAGACCAATACCACTCAGACATGCAAAGATATTGTCACAACCCCTATACGTTTCGTCCTGGGACGTCACAACAGGAGCGTGACCTGGGGGCGTAGGTGGGGTTCAGGTAGAGAGAAACTCGCTTGGTTATGTACAATAAGATATGTATTGAATATATATTATAGAATAATATTACCCTAGTAATAATACCATGAAGTCTCTTCTACGGAGGGACGTATTACTTAGGCCACTCTGTATTATGTACACACAGTATACTTGGCGTGACTGAAGACTGGAGGTGGGTTTGAGACAGGTCCAGAAGGGCGTTTCCCAATAAAGGAGGTTTGCACTGGGAGGAGACTTAGCTAGAGGGGTACTTTGCACTTAGTCTGCCGATAATGGATCTCGACGCGGTATTTATACCAAATTAATGCTGACTCGTCGATACACTTTAATAAAACTGATGTACAGAGTGGTATTTACTTGAGTAGTTGACAACATCCTCTGGCAGAGGTAGGCTACACTGATCAGTCATCCATGACGTTCATCCATCCATAGAAAGAAATAAAAATTGTAGAATGTTTGTAGCTGCTACAGGCAAATGACGAAAAATTCCAGTCTTTCTATCGTATATGAGCAAAGAAACCTATATTCTTTTAGATGTATAAACACTTACTTTCCTACCTCTTCAACAAGTTTAATATTGAAATCTTGGTCATTCACATTCATTTCGTATTTTGTTATTTCAATACATAAATTGCGAAAAAAATCTCCAATAAATCCTCGCGCAACCCACAGTTCGAGTCTCTTGGCGATTTATCATTAGGGCCCGTCGCACATGGAGCCACCCATAAAAGACGAAACTGAGTAGAGATGCCAGTTACAAAAATAAGTTGGATACTCAATTCTCGTACACGAGAGGACGAGACGAGGATCGAAAATAAACGCGTTTGTTCAGGAGTAGTGTATGCAAGCTTGGTCCTTGGTCATTCATTTCGTTTTTCCTCATTTTGCCACACAAATTCCGAATAAAGTCTCCAACAAATCCTCGTGCGACCAACAGTTCTAGTCTTTTGGCGATTTATCACTAACCAGTAGCGTAGATACGGGTTGGCGATCAGTAGCGCCGTGTACGACATTCGATTTGAATACACATGCCGTGGACTTGCAAAAGACTATCAAGTGATTATAGTTTAATTTCAGTTTCTTACCAGTAGCTCCGTGTGCGACGGGCCTAACTACTTAACCAGTAGAAGTACAGGCTCGGCGACTAGTAGCGCCATGTACACGACACCGGAGCTACTGGTATGAAACTGAAATTAAACTAAAATCACTTGACGGTCTTTTGCAAGTCCACGGCATGTGTATTCAATCAAATCGAATGTCGTACACGGCGCTACTAAACAATAAAAGTCTGTTTTTGTCGACGTTGCAGAAATTTATTTTTGCTCCCTCCAGAAGAATATAAATTTTAATTTCATCACAATAGGATTACAGTTTCATATGTAATTTTTAATTTTTTTTTGAAAGTGACATGAGGAAAATAAAACATTAAATATAACTTAATTAAGTAATACAACAATTGAACATAAAACACTTCACTTCCATAAACCACTAGGTACACTATAAATATTTTCATTGTTTTTAAAATTCAGATCTAAACTAAAATCCACTCTCGCTTTCAATAAGATCCTCATCGGTCTCATCAAAACTATCCTCCAACTTCCTATTGTCCCACGCCTGTGCGGCAATATTTCTCAACTGTTGCGTCATACCTTCTCCAGTTTCCATTACCATACTAGTGAAATGACCGTTTTTCATTTGGAGCAGCTTATGCGGATGACCGAACTCTTTAATCTCACCGGCATCCATAACCAGGACCTTGTCCGAGTCCATAACGGTATTGAGACGATGGGCGATAGTTAGCACTGTGCAGTTTTTGAATTTTTTACGTATGGTTGTTTGGATTAGACCATCAGTTCTGAAATTTTTGAAAAATATAGAAAAATTTCATAGGGTTACAGAAGACATTGCTCACCTAGCGTCCACATTAGCTGTAGCTTCATCTAATACCAAAACTTTGTTATTCCTCAGCATTGCTCTTGCTAAACATAACAGCTGTCTCTGACCCAAACTGAAATTGCTACCGCCTTCTGATACTTCAAAGTCCAGTGTAGTTACTAAATCTTTTAGTTCAACCTATTTAAATACAATAAAGGAAATATGAAAAAACTAGCTCTAATGATCTAAGGTACAAAGTTTTACACTTTCTACGTTTATGAGGATTTTTATAGTAGATAGAAGATGCTTTAAGGCTTTTATATTTATATCATACCTAGTAAATCGTCTCGCCTATATTATTTATTTGTAATTTAACATAGAGCGTTATACAGTAGAGCAACATATTTAAATCGTTATTCGTTTTTGAAGAAACGAGGAAATTTATGTCTTGAATAGAAAATTATAGTAGAAAACTCTAATATCTGATAAAAAAAACTTAAGCAAAAAGTAAGCTTACCTCTTCTAAAACAGCCCAAAGTTTGTCATCCACAAACTCATTGAACGGATCCAAATTGAATCTTAAACTGGAACTAAACAGTACAGGTTCTTGAGGGATTATGGAAATTTTCTTCCTCAAATCAGTCAACCCTACAACGGCTGTATCTAGTCCGTCAATTAAAATTTTGCCTCTTAATGGAGCTAATCTAAATAGTGCCGAAATAAGACTCGATTTTCCTGCTCCAGTACGGCCTACGATACCAATCTTCTCCCCAGATCGTACCAAAAGTCTTAAATTCTTCAACACCGGTGATTGCTCCAAAGAATAGAACAAACTAAGATTTTTAAATTCGATTTTGCCTAAACTCGGCCAAGGGAGCAACGGTAACTTGTTTTCAGGCGTCACAAAAGGCCCTTCATTTTCCAATTTGGTGTACTGCAAAACCCTTTCCACGCTGGTTAATTGGTTAATAACTTCAGCAGTTTGCCGCATACCATACTGAAGCATACCAGTTAGAATCATAGACTGGGATAGGGCAAGGCCCACTAAACTTCCATTTTGATGTTGTCCAAAGTCTTCAGCTAAAACGAAGCCGAAACAAACGGATGTGATGAACACTACGCAAATTATATCGAGCCAAAGACCAAAGGAAACTGTGCACATGATGGTTAGGAACCAGGCTGATGTATGTACGTCCTGAAATAAATAAAACTTGTTTTGTTAAAAATATAATTAAACGTGCAAATAATGAGTGAGAAAATGCTGTCGGTAATAATACCCATGGATCAGTGATACCTCCTAAGTGTCCGCTCTCGTGATTTTGTTGAATGTCAGCTTTCAACAAATTTTCAGAATCAGAAAGGAAGTGTTCGATAACAAGCATAGAAAAATCCGTGTAAATCTAAGCTCTAATGGTAGTATCTAAGATTAATCAACAACCCATGCGTCATTTGCTGAGCAAACTATTTGGCTGATTTTTCCAATAAAAAATTCAAATTATTTTCTTACCTGATGATTATCAAATTCCGTTATCAAAACTTTTTCAGCTTGCGAAGCTCTTATAGTGGTGAGCCCGTTTAATGAAGAGCTCATATGTGAGAACACTGGTGATTTAGCTAAAATATCAATATTTAAAAAATGGACATCAACGATTCAAAACTAACTTACCAATTCCTTCAATGTGTTTGATGTGTTTAGCACTTGCCACGTACCAGCCCCTAACTTTCAAGAATATATACCCTAGAATAATAATTGCAGCCACCATGTAGTAACTTGAAATAGTAACAGAAACTAAAATTCCCATCATGACCAATAAAATCTACAAATAACTAAAATGTATAAATTTTAAATTAATTAAAAACTCGACTTACTTGTATTGACTCCATTAGAGCCCTCGGTAAAATCTCATCAATTGCACCAATGTCCTTACTAAACCTGTTCAAAACCCTTCCACTAGGATTGACATCAAAAAATCTCATTGGAGCTTTCAAAAGACAATGGAACATGTTGGAGTGGATGTTTTTTGAAGCCATCATTGTAGCTTTGAAAAACATGAATGACCTTGTAAGAGATAGAATAATAGTCAATAGAATTAGACTGGCATAGAAATATATGGCAACATCGGTTTTGAAAAGGGAATGCATTACGTTGTCAATTTGAATTTGGTCGAAGACGTCTTCGTATTTAATACCAAAGAAGATGGTATTACTGGTTTCGTTGATTTTTTGTTGGTACGTATGGTAAGAGGCATTTAATGGAGGAGATTCTGGCTTTAATAAAATTATATCGTCGACTATTGATCCAGGATTTGTTGAAGGATCAACGATTGTAGCTCCACTTAGATGACGTATTTCTTCTTGGCTTGTCCTAACAAGAAACAATAAAAATTATTAAAAGAATTATTCAAATAAATTTAATGTGACTTACCATAACGCTACCCATAGGTCAGTACAAGTGCATACAGCTTGCGATAAAGCCAGTATTATAATTGTTGTGACGAGGAAGCAAATGCTGTTGACTGATTTAAGGTAATCCCAAAATGGTGTGGCACCTTTAACACCACCTTTTTCTTCGTTTTCTTCATCATGAATGGTTTGTTCTAGTATCGAGTCTGATTCGGAACCCTATAAACGATACATTATCAGACTTATGAACTGAATCTTTTCTCAAATATCATTTACCCTTGAAACTTTCCTTAGGCTCGCTACTAACTGTTCATGTTCCTTTTCTTCAATAGTTTCATCGGCGGAAGCCAGCATTTTAGTAAAATCTAATTGACTGTTTGACAGTTCCCTAAAAGTACCCATGGCTTCGATTCTGCCTTCGTTTAACACAACAATCAGATCGGCTTTTTTCAAATATTGCAACTGATGAGTGACTAGGATCCTGGTTTTGCCCTTCAGGTATTTAACGATGCATTTGTCGAATAGATGTTTGCCTACGTGTGTGTCCACCGCTGACAAAGGGTCATCAAGAAGGTACACGTCAGCTTCTCGGTAAATTGCGCGTGCCAAGTTTATTCTTGCTCTTTGGCCACCGCTGAGCGAGACACCGCGTTCACCTACCATCGTTTTATCACCTAGAAATTGAGTTTGAATACAGAGGTAGGTAGGTATACCTACATAATTTAAGTTTTTTGATTTTTTGGATCTCAAATCATAACAAAGGAAAGATATTGAGCATTATTCGGCTGATAATTTGAAGTAAGTCCGACCCAAACTCCAGCGGAGAAACTGCACGTTTAATCCAGTTTTCTACTACCTCCTACTACAATCCATTAATTCTATTATAATTTCTTATGTATGTGTCCCTACACAGCGAGAAAAAGGGGCAGCTGGGACGACTACGATTCCACCTCAACGACCTGAGTATAATAATCAGGCAAGGCCAAAACTGAATCTAGAAGAAATACTGCTAAGAGGTTGAAAACATCAATGTAGCAGCAACATTTCAAAAAATTCCTATAAATCCAGTTGAGGCCCTTGAAAAACCAAATGGACCCACACAGATTCAGGAAGATTGAATTTGCGAATCGTACTGTACACGTACTCATCTCCCAGAATCAGTCGAGATCGAAACGGAACGAAACCCACCAATTCATAGTAATCACAAAATCAAGACTACAAAAGAGAACTGGGGATACAGCAAAAGAGATCATAACCTATGAAAAAATAGCATGGGCAATAAACAACCATATGTACTTAAATCGCTAGGGCCCGATGGTATCAAACCTGCTCTACTTCAGCAGGGCAAATCCATTATATTTCCGCCACTCTGCAGACTACTAAAAGCCTAGACTAGCCACAGAATATATACCCCAAAAATGGACAAAAGCCAAAATTGTCTTTATATCAAAACCCAGGAAAGACTACTCGCAGGCAAAAGCTTTGAGATTTAGACCAATTATACAAACTTTCCACAAACAAGCCACAACACCCAAACCAGCATACCTATTGCAGTGACGCGGAAATCAACCACCAAGAAAACAATTAAAGGTTCTGATTATTCTAAACAACTAAAGACCTAGGATCCAATTACCGAAAATTAATCAAGAATAACAAGGACTTACCAATCAATCATCCACAATCATCACAGCACAACCAGAAACTTCAATTAAAAATTATCTGAACATCGATATCCAGAAATTATTGAAATGTGAATAAAGCAAAAGTTCATGGACCTTTTTTTTTTAAGTGCTTTCAACAATTAACATTCCAAAGGAGCCGAAAAATTTCTAAAAGGATCAATAAATCATGCACGAGGCCTATATGATGATACCCACTTAACAAACCACTTAGCGACGCCCTTGATAATCAATTAAAAGGGGACCAAATACACTATTTGATCGGATGATTCAACCACGAAAAATCGAGGTCAGCAACAATAAGAAATTCAAGACAATGGAGGGACCAATGATATAAAAAGTCAACTTTGGCAGGAGAAAATCAGTGTTCGAGAAAGAGCGAGTAAACCGGCAGAACTACGGCAAGAAACAAGTAGTAATCGAGAATCGAGAGACCTGTGTCCAGAAAGTCAGAACTACGGCGTGAAAGAGTTGTCGAATTAACCGAGAGAAGAAGCACGACGTGAAACAACAGCGCGAAAATATTCGAGTTTTTTTTTAAGTGTTCATAATTAAAGTAAATTCCTTCGACCAATAAGATTTCCATGTAATTAGGTGTGGCCAGCAGTAAATATATTATTGTTAAATGTAAGTAGAATTTTTTCATGTTCAGAAATTGTGAAGGCAAGAATGTGAATCGAGTCAAACTGTAAATAAAAATTTTTACTTGGAATCATATAAATTTTCCTTAACAGTTAATTGATGCTTATTAGAAATCTATCTAACAATTTTATTGTAAGATTATTTATTACCGACGCCTATTATTTAATAACAAGCATTATTTATTTTAATAAAATTAACTTTATTTTAATTGACCACAATATTTCTGTGTTTTACTCTCCACCCGCAAATAGGACCCATTTTAAACTGTCTCCACTCAGAAACTAAATTCACCGCTCGCCAATTTTACATCTTGCCAAGTTTCTGAATTTTGGATCTCACACTATCAAGTGGGTAAATCTTGCGAAATGGCCCTTCACCAACTGGTGGCAAGAATAGAGCGCCCAAATGATAAAAAGGTGGCCTGGCACGTTGCAGCATTCCTCGACATAGATGGTGCCTTTGAAAAAAGATTTATACCCAGGGTTACTAAGTAGCTGTAGTCATGGGGAAAAATTTACAAACAACTCCTACGCAAATACAAACAGCACTTAAAATCGTGGAGGACTGAATCAAAAGAACAAACCTGAGTGTTAACCCTGAGAAAACAGCAATGGCCCCCTTCACAAAAGGGAAAAAAAACGGTCTAGTCCCTCCCACTTTGTTCGGAAAGCAAATACAATTCGTCCAGGAAGTAAAATACCTAGGGATTATCCTGGATGCAAAACTAACCTGGGAGATCTACGGACTCAGTTGTGGCCAGAACTGGAATTCGAGACGAACATCTGGACATACCAGGATGATAAACATTTTTTACAAACTCACGGTTTGAGATGAGAAGTGACAACATGATCCAGAGAATAAACACTCACAAATGGTTTCAAAACCAGATTGACTGGGAAAACAAAACAGAAAACTCAATGGTCCAGAATGGATGAAAGGTCGTATGGCACACTGATGGCTCCAAAACCCACAACGGAACCCGTGCCGGAGTATATGGCTTATACTCAAGAGCAAAATGGCTTTCTCCATTGGAAAAGCATACTACCGTATTCCGGTATTCCGAGCCGAAATACATGCAATAGAGATCTGCCTGTGGGATAATCTGAGAAGGGGGTATGTACACAAGGATATCATGATCTTTTCAGACAGCCAAGCAGCTATTGAAGCTCTAGCATGCCAACAGATAGAACTCAAAATTAGTGTGAGACTGCCTGCAACCCCTTTTAACCCTAGCCAGCCAGAATTAGGTAACTCTTGCGTGGATGTCGGGGCATACAGGAGTTGCCAGCAATGAAAACGCCTTAGCCAGGCAGGTTTATGGGTCCTGAATCCGTATTCAGAATATCAAAAACATCGATACGTGGCTGTTTAGAAAAGTGGATCCGAGAGGAACATAAAAAACCACTGGTATCAAACACTAAGGAAACACCATAGTATGGCAATGGAGATCCTAAATCTTACGAGGAATCAGATCAGAACTGTGGCAGGACTCCTAACCGGTCACTGTACACTGAGAAAACACTTACGCAAGATGGGTATCTACCAAGATGAACCCATCTGTAGACTATGGGACGAAAAATCAGCCTTTCACATTTTATTCGAGTCGAGAGCCCAGCACTTGAGCATTGGTTTACTGGAGAACTTGACACCTTCTTGAGGAGGAGCCCATCCAGAAGGAGGGTCACCTGAAGACGCCAATAAAGGTGTCAAACCTATTTTAGAAGAAACTTACACAGCAAGGGATACAATAAGCTAACTAGACTAGCTGCAGTGTCAGGGAATCACTAAACCTTGCCTTGCTGCTGAATATCAAATCAATCAATTAATCAATCAATGTATACCCACACAATCTTATTAGTAACCGTTTAACTGCTCGCTTTACGATCACCAAGCCTAATCTGCCAAAACATGTAGGTAAATTGAAAAAATCCAAAAATCCCATCAATAAGATTCATAAACTGCTTTCAAATGATTCAGTATAATTATTTAGCATCACCAATGTCAATAAAAACGGAATCCAGATTGGAACCACTCGAAGGCTTCTGGTTCAAGATCGGTCTATTCAAGTACTGCAGTGAAATGAGAAAGATTCTTATCCCACAGTGTTATGAAAATCTATGTCCAAATCTCACATAATTAACAAAATGCACAAATTGCCAGGTACTGCCAACTTTTTACGAGAAATGTCAGACTGTGCCATGCAAGAGACAATTCTACTTCCACATACCATTGTTAGATTTTATAATGACGAAACCTATAGGATAGGAATCATAAGTCTATACCTTTGGGACAATCATTATTTCAACAAACAAATCTGAGATAATGGAAATAGATCGAAGCATCAAGGATCCTACTGTGATGGGTAGCTACCAGAGGCTAAAGGAAGCTGAAGAATATGTTGAAATCGAAAATCCCATTGAAAGTTAAATCCAAAATATACAACGAATGCATCCTACCGGTCACAATTAAGGGCGCACATAGATAATATGGATCCTAGACAAGTATTGTCTGGCGCCAAACGGCGAACTCCAAAAGAATTTGCTGCTTTGCCAAACTTGACGGAAACAATAATAAACAAGTGGAGGCCAAGCAAGTTGGTTTTGAATATGTTTTTATGTGTATTTTAAATTATTTTGCATACAGTTTTGCTTACAACTTTGATTTTCTTTATTTAATAAAATATTTGTTGACTAGGTACCTACCTAAACTATTAATTCGGGCAGAAACTAAATATTTTTTTGTGTTTTTTGGCCCATGTGTGGCCGCCACGCCATCTTGAATGTCACGTGGTTTGAATTGCCTAATATGGGCATGTTTAATATTTTGAAATAGAAAAAAATCCGGCAACATTGCGAAACGATGGATGTGGAGAGGCGTGATTATTCAGAGGCATGATTCTATTGGTTAGAGCCTGAACGACAGCACGCAGTGGCGTGGTTATCGGCGAAACTAGAGTTTTTTTTCTAATAATTTTATTGGTTTATTTCCTAGTGTTTTCGGTGCCACTGAACTCAAAGACATGGCTGTCATCAGGCGGTGTCAGTTGAGGTGTCAGTGAATATTTTTAGGTCACGCCCCACTTTTCTTCCCCCTTTCGTCTCTACCAAGTTACCACTTGCCAGACTATAGTTATGAAACCAGACAAAGATTCTGGATACTGCAGAAAGGATATGCTTTTTAAAATGGAGCTGAGCCGGTCAGGAATTACAAACAATCGAGCCTTGATGAGAAAAAGTAGGGAAAGACGGAAACAACCACAAAGTGTTGCATATAAGTTTTGATGCTCACTGTATTTGAAGAATTCTTTTACCTTGTACCTGTGTCGTTTTTTGACTTTTGTAGACCAGTTAGTTTTTGTTAGTTTGTCAACGTGTTGTTGAATGTTAAATAATAAAGCAGATTGCTAACAAAATCTTGTTACAATTCTTTGGCCCGTGAAGTGTTATTCACCCTATAAAACAAAGCAATTAAATATCACCATTGTTGTATATTTATCTCTTTTATATTCCAAATGCGACGCTCTCAAAGCTGTTTGGTCTTTTGAGAATATTCTCTCAATTTTCACCTACCTACTCTAACATTTAAATTTTTTTTTACATATTGTTTGTGAGGCCTTGATAATCCAAAAGGAAATGGACGAATTTCTTAAACTTGAGATAACATATTAATATTTTGGTTATGTAAATCACTATCAAAGATAACCTTTTGCTACTGCTTCAATGTTTATTAAAACAATAAACAAATGGAATGATGAAACAAAAATAATTCTTACCATGAGGAAGCTGTTCGAAATCCTTCTCCAGAGCGCACACCTTAGTCACTTCTTTGTAACGTTGACGATCATAATGTGTTCCAAACATAATATTTTTCCTCACTGACGCTACAAATAGCCAAGGTTCTTGTGAGGAATATGCTAGATTGCTGCCAATCTTGATTTTACCATGGGTTGGTGGTAACTCACCCAGCAGCAACTGAAAGAGAATAGGAATTTGGTAGGAATTGCTTCAACAATCTAATTGGTTGCTGATCGATCTGAAAAAGTCTTTGAATATTGGTTTGTTTTAATGAAAACCAGATTCAGACCCAAAGATTAAAATAAAGACGAATCGAATCGAACTGATGGTAGAACGTTAAATCAACCTCAAAATACATAGAAAAATTGATGAAAGATTCTTACTTGCAATAAAGAGCTTTTCCCAGATCCAACTGGTCCGACAATAGCGCAAAGTTTTCCTTTAGGCACCACCATTTCCAGGTTACTCAAAATTGTATTACCGGGGACCCAGGAGGCACTGACGCCTTGCAAAGAAACTTCCGATTCTTCTGTGTGTTGCACAATGCTTTCTTGTTTTTCTTCTAGGATCAGGAAATCTTCCAGTCTCTTGAGGGAAACTAGAGTTTCGGCTCCTATGCTTATCGCCATTGGGTACATTATGGCCATAGCGACTGAAATTATTTATTTATTTATTATTTTTGTTTAAGTGCACTTTACAGAAGAAAGCTCTAAATGGTACACTAAAGAATTAAACGAAATGATCCATCTGGGAAAAGTCCTAATTGTAATTAGTGACTAAATGGGTCATGATTCATTTCAGACCATAGTTAGTTCTATGCGCATATTGGAAAAAGAGTTGCCTCTGTCGGGTTGTTTTTCCAGGAACCAGAAATCCAATTTCTGTCAGTTCGGGGGAGTTGATAATATTCTACAAAATTTTGTACAGAAAAATGAGCTGGGAATTTTTGGGTCGATTCTAAAGGCTGTGTATGCCGCGGAGCTGTAGACGAGTCTCATACTCAAGGTTCTGGCAAGGAAATCTCAGTTTGTAGAGCAGGTATTTGGCAAATTTATTTTGCACTCCTTCTATCCTTCTAATGTGACATACGTAACGTTGGAGTCCGAATTAGATGCAGTATTCAAGTGCGGATCGAATGAAACATGTAAAATAGACAGGTTATGGATTTCGTATCATATGTATACAGGGTGTCCGGTAAGTATATGGCATACTCTCGGGAGCGTATAGGAGGGGTCAAAATAACCCTACTTTGTTATAAAAAAAAAATCCTAAAGTGCCCCTTAACCGAGATACAGAGCCCCAAAAGAGTACTTGGCGATTAACATTTTTAGCAGTAACTTTTGAACCGACTTGTATAATTTAATGAAGTTTTAATATTTTATGTTAGCCATAAAGGCTCATAAAACCATACTACAGCAGATGTTTCACATAGTCTGGGAAGTCAGGAGCGGACTTGCCTCTATATTCATTGTGCCAAATTTTTGACAGGAGTCATTTTACAGAGCTGAAAACTGATTTTTTAAATACTTTGGTCATTTTTCTTCAAATAAGGTGCTCTACATTTGTTTCGATTAAATCAGCCGTTTCCGAAAAAATTAGGATTTTGTATAACACGTCTAATCATTTATAGTATTTTTAATACCCATTTAGAATAACCCCATCCTTATTTATCAATCACGAATCAGACGAAACAAAAAATTACCAACAAAAACGAATGTCGATTGCTAATACGTCAAATTCATGTACAAATAGGAAATTCCTAACCTAATTTCATTTGTCTGTTCAAGAAGCGACATACGTTTAGTCACTAGAATGACTGGTACTTCTAAATAGGTATTAAAAATTCTATACCTTCAAAATATATTTAAATAATCAAGTTGATCCTAGATAAGAAAAATAGGCAGAAATTGACTTATATAAAAAGTACCTTTTTTGGCAAAAAGGTTCGGTTTTAAGTACTTTTTATAAGTCAACTTCTACCTGTTTTCCTAACTCTAGGATAAACTTGATTATTAAATGAATTTCGAAAGTAAATGATTAAACGTGTTATAGAAAATCCTATTTTTTTTCGGAAACGGCTGATTTTTAATCGAAACAAATGTAGAGCACCATTTTTGAAGAGAAATGAGCAATGTATTTAAAAAATCAGTTTTCAGCTCTGTAAAATGACTCCTGTCAAAAATTTGGCAAAATGTATATGGTGGCAAGTCCGTTCCTGACTTCCCAGACTATGTGAAACATCTACTGTAGTATGGTTTTATGAGTCTTTAAGGCCAACATAAAATATTAAAACTTCATTAAATTATACAAATCGGTTCAGAAGTTAGAGCGAAAAATGTTAATCGCCAAGTACTCTTTTGGGGCTCTGTATTTCGGTTAAGGGGCACTTTAGGATTTTTCTATAACAAAGTAGGGTTATTTTGACCCCTCCTATACGCTCCCGAGAGTATGCCATATACTTACCGGACACCCTGTATATGTCTCTGGTGTTTCGTTAGTAACATTGAGTTTGAGAAGATTTGAGTATCCCCAAGAGGCTGGAGAGATGTAGAGTGCCCGTCGACAACTACGAAAAACTTCCAGTCGTCAGCGTATAGTAAGCAGAGAGATGGACTGGAAGCATCGGATGACGTCATTTATGAAAAGAATCGTTTCGATGTGCGATCCCTGAGGGACCCCGGATGGAACTATGAACACATGGGATACTGCACCGCACACACCACCTCTTTGACATCTTTCCGTTAAGTTAAGTAAGATTCTATACATTTTACGAAACGTGTGCACCGAAGCCCATATCTGAGAGTTTTTTTTTAGTAACAACTTATGGCACACACTATCAAGGGATTTTAAAATGTCCGTGAAGATCACGTCCACCTATTCTCCTCCTGATTCCAAAGCGTTCGTTAGGAACTCTTGGTAGATAGCAATAGATTTGTAGCACTTGAATTTCCCTTGCAGAAACCGCGTTGTTCGTTAGCAATGTAGATAATGGATTCCATAATTTAAGGAATGTGAATCATCACAGTGCTGAGATTTTCCAACTTCTGGGAAAAATACCTTTTTTCTGTACATATTTCCTAAATAAACTGTTGACTGTTTCTGTATCAATCAGGTTAAAATTGTTAATTTTAATCTAAAACGCGGAGAGAGAAAGTAAGTAAGATGTTGCAAACTTGCAGGAAATGAGAAACTGAAAAGATATCTTTGTGATTTCTTCAGTGGGTTTTTTATGTCTTTATATCTCAAAAATCACAGAAGCAATTGCTGCCTGTAGGTTTTAATCAAAATTTGATACTTACGTTGCAAAATATTAAAATACTGCGCCATAGAGAAAGCAATATTGGCTCTAACATGGTTCCCCGACAAAGCAAAAGACACCAGTGTCAAGCACAACGTACTTCTCTCAATAAACACCATACAGCTTAAATAAAATCCTCTCAAATAAGAGGTCAGCGTAAGGTAATGAACTTCTTTTAGCCTCATCGTTTTAATAATTTTTTCAAACGGCTTTTCCCAGGCATACATTTTAATTACCTGTATGCCTGAAATAATTTCACTCATAAGTTTCACTCTCGCGTCGGTTCTTTCGGCTACTTTCAAACGAAGTGCTGAGGCTACATTACCCAAATATCCTGTAACACAATAAATAGGTAAACAAGAAATGTTTTTTTTTTGAAAACTTTATACCTTGTACAGGCAGAGTACACAAAGCCATAGAAAAAATTCCAACTAAAGATGACACTCCCACAGAATCCCATAATACATAGGCTACTAATGTAACTTGAATGGGCATTATCCAGAGATAGTGTAGGTACTGGCATACCAAATCAAACCTTTGAACATCGTTTGACAATAAGTTGACTACTTGACCAGCTGCCGTTTGACCTTGCGATCTTTTGTTCAGTTTTAAAACCTAGCAGTAACAAAAAAACCTATAAGTAATTTGGTATAGCAAATAAGTGATGTAGAAATTACCTTCCTGTAAACCAAACTTGAAATAGCAATTCTGACCTTCATTCCTACACAATTTTGATAGAAACTGTTGTGATGCATGAAAAATATCATCAAGATAGATATCGCTATCAAACTACTGGCTGATGCGTACATGATGGTTCTTTCGTGGACGGTACCTTCTTGGAATTGGTTGATTAGCCAGGATAGGAGCAAAGGTTGAGGTGTCCTAGAAATCAAAATTATTCGATTTTTGCCCTGTTACTGATACTGCATTTAGTTTGAGCTGCAAAAACATTCTTGAATTCTACGCAGAAAAAATATCTACAGCATGTCATTATTATGTCATCTTACCTCAGAAAGATCATCATAAAAAAGAGTATCAATCCATGAAAAAGATATTCTTTCAAAAACACTCTGGCAACGGTACGGAATAAGCTCGGTTTACGGCCTTTTTCTTTGGCTCGTAGTGTTTCTTCGTGCCATTTTTGTTCGATTTTGTCGCCTAATTTTTTCGATTTGTCGCATTCTAGAGTTTTGTAGAGGTCGCTAATCTTTAACGGCCTTTTGCTTCCTAAGTAGAAGAGCTTGAGTATCCACCTAGAACATAAAATGACAGATGAGCTTGACTAGATGGGAGTAACCCAGATCGGACTCTAGTGTTGATACATTGGGGTATCTCACAGAGAAATGGCCAGAAGAAGGAACATTCATGTGGAGGTGAAATTAGGAGTGTTTCAACATTTACAAGCTGATAATAGAGTAATGTTTTCAGAATCAGATCTACAGAGAGAGTAAAAAAATCTACCAGAATTTTCCAAACGAAATTCTAGCCTCAACTACTCAAGGCGAACGAGGTAAGAACAGTAGGTTCACTTATGTCTCCTTTTTGGGCTAGATAGTTAAATTGCTCACACTTGTCAAGTTTCTAGAGCAATTTTTAGAAACATCAAGTTTCAGAAATATCTTTTGCAGAACAATATAGACAGGTACCATTTCCCGCTATTCAAATTGGTTCCATGAAAATACTATTTTAAAAAATACCAGTAGTGTTTCCTCCTCTCAACGATAAAAGGGGTTAATTAGACCGGAACTCTGTAACGGATAGAGAGAAATCAATAGAGAGGAGACGTCAATGGAGATAGAGACAGATACAGAGTCCCAACTCAGATATTTAGTTAAAAAAAAGTTACTTACGCGAAAAACAATTTCGATACCACATTCGCACTCTTTTTCGGATTTTCATTTTTCAACGTATACGCGGCATCCATAAAGACGAAATACACAGAAACACAAACACACTAAAATGAAACTCGAAACGAAAAACTTATCAATAATTATTAATAGGTAAAAAAACTTAAAACGAATAGAAAATTTCGCCTCTAGACCGCAAAACAAAAAGACAAGGAATATGTATAAATTAAAACATTTAAACACACTGTCAAATTGATAAAAACCCAGCAAAAAACTGTTTTATTTTATGTCGTTCCGGGTATCAGTATCCACGACCGATTATTTCTTTTAATGCGTATAAAGGTTGAAGGTTCATCTTTATTTAAATTATTTCAATGGATAAATATCAATTTGGTCAGAAGATTACAAATTCGTTTGTAACTGAACAAATATAATTGATGTTTGGTAATAATCGGGTTCGTCAGAAAAAGAAATTATTATATTTAGACTCAAAGTTTGTCTATCGCAATAAGTCAATAACTTTGATAATTACAAACGATATCTTTGGCTTTGAACTAGATGACTTAACACAAAAATAATAGCAGAAATTTAATTTGAATTTTATTTATATCATAATCTAATCGTTTGGATGCTATTCCTATACTAATAAGCATTTCTAGACATGTCTGAAGAAACTACGTATTCAACAAAATATATTAACATTAGATTAGGTTAGGTTTTAAAGGGTTTGGCCTACAGCTGTAGTCGAGAGCTTGCACTCAAGTCCATTGTGTTTCCGTCAAAATCTTTAACTTGTTCCTCCTTTCTCCGTTTTGAGAGATTTTGATCGTTGGTTGTGATGATTCGTCTGTTTCAGTTTGGTCCTTTTTCGTTCCCAGTTTTGCCATCAGTCTATCTGCCATTTCGTTCCCTTCGATATTACCAGAGGAACACAGCTGATCCAGGACAACACTTCCCGGCAGCTCGTCACTATTTTTGATTTCACTATATGTGATTCTAAGTAGTCTCAGCGCTGCTTTCCTATCCACATATGGTGACATTGCCCATTGCATTATTGTCCTCCCTTAGCAAGTCTTGCTGCTTCCTCAATAGCAATTATTCCGGCATACAGGATGCTGAAATCATTCCTGAGTTTGTATGACTCTTGAATGTTTAGTGCTTCTGAGTATACTCCGGCTTCTGTGTCGATTTTTGTTTTTGCGGCATCTGTGAAGATTGCTATCTCATATTCCCTATGTATAGGGGTTTGATCCCAATCTTCTTTTGAAGGTATATACTGACCTTTAGCTTTATCCTGTCCTCGAAATAATATGGCCACTATGTAGTCCGTTGCCTTAAGGAATGTGTTAGCCTCTTGGTGGTCCATCATTTTTGCTGTATCCATAAGTATTCAAAGCAGGTTGACGGCTGTGTGCACGCTTGGAAATGAGGAGGAATGAAACTTGTGTATTTCGTGCAAAATTTAATATTCAAAATATCAGTGCAGAGCGTTTTCGGCCTTAGGCCATCATCAGTGCTACTTTGTCAGGTAGAGTACAGAGGAATGAGCATTAAAATTGGGAGTATTGGGACAACACATTGGACAGGTACGTACGGTATAACAATCTGTGGGTACCTACAACACTTTAAAGGGTGGTTAGGCAATTCAAGTATATTCTGAGTATATAGGCTATACCTAGAATAAAAGTTAATTTTTTGAGTTCTAAAATGAACTTTTATTGTAGGTATAGCCTGTACTCAGGATCATAGAATAAGGTTTAAAGGGGATATACTTGAATTGTCGAACCGGCCCTAAAAAACCTTAACGCCCAAGTAGAGTAGATATCACATTTCATTATAAGGAACTAGGTGGTAAAATTTCTCCCCTGCAGCTGGCTTTGGGGATGAACTTAGTGTTCAATTTCTTGAATAGGTTTATTTTAGGTCGATTGTGTCTTACTTTTGTGAAAGAATTCTTTCTTTTAGAATAAAAATTTTAGAAATTGGGAAATGTGTGTTGTTCGGAAAACCAGAACCCATTTTTGAATATTAAATTTTGCACGAAATACACAAGTTTCATTCCTCCTCCTTAAGTATTGTCTGTTTAAGTTTAAGAAACCAGAAATCTTGGTTAGGCCCGTTAGGCCCATATGTCACATAAAATGTCATGTCTTGGTTTGCACAAGGCTTTTGTCATTATAGGTGCGTTTTTGATTGATCCAAATCGCCAACAACCAGTTTCAACCAATGAAATTCTCTACGAATGGTTTGTGATTTCTGTGGAAACAGACCTTATATCAGCAACTTGAGTTTCTGTAGACGTTTTGTGTACACTCAAATAGGCTGTTCATTTGTACTGCTTTTCTTGCTTTAAGCAGATCTCAGCAGCTGATCGGCGTTCACTTGTCCCATAAGTCCCATATAATAAGCTCATAAATAGCAGCTCCTAGCAGATCTTCCTGATTTTTCGAGCAGGTAGCAAGTACAAATGAACAGCCTAAACTTTTCTTCTAAGACAAGCTCTCCCACATAGAAATGTCGAATTCGATGGTGCTTGATTCTCTTGTGGATTTTGTGCCAAACGAATAGCTGCTCATTCGTTATCAACTATAACTCTGGATTTTGTTTCAGTGTTATTATTTCTTCACATAATCTTTTTAGCCAAACAAGTAGTTTTGAAGCTTCGCTAGCTGCAACGATCTCCGCTTCAGTTATATAAATGGCAACTGAAGGTTGTCTCTGTCTCATCCAGGATATAGCACCTCCAGCATTAACACATCATACCACTCCTGTTGTGGAACGTCCTGTTTTTATATCCTCTCTCTGATTCTTGGCCTGTAAGTGATAGCATAATTGAGCTTGTTCCTTGAATGTAACAGAAAATGCTCTTTACTTGGACAAAGTCTTTGTGAGTTGGATTTTCCAAACTTCTTGACGCCACAAAGCAGCGTTTTCCTAGCAACGCACATTTTACGCGGCGTAGAACGTAAACGGCTGAAGGTACGGTTTGTTAAGGCACGGTTTATTAGGATAGTACGCGACGCACAACTCACGCATAACTGACAACGTAAACGTCGTCATTGGTTCAGGTATGACGTACACCCGTTTTCTGACGCTGACGTCAGGTAATGGGTGTACGTCATACCTGAACCAATGACGACATTTACGTTGTCAGTTGTGCGTCGCGTACTATCCTAACAAACCGTACCTTTAGAAGAGTACGCGTCGCACAACTGACAACGTAAACGTCGTCATTGGTTCAGGTATGACGTACACCCGTCTTCTGACGTGAGAAAACGGGTGTACGTCATACCTATGGTCATACCTGAACCAATGACGACATTTACGTTGTCAGTTGTGCGTCGCGTACTATACTAACAAACCGTACCTTTACGCAACGCAACATCTAATGCGCTGTGCAAAAGTGTTTTCCTAGGATTGTCAGTTGCGTCCCGATCGTCGCGATGACTATATCAAAAAATAAATTAGCTTTGGTTTTATTATTATTACAAGATGAAATTTTACAAAACCGATTCATGATAGGACTATAAATTCTGCTAGCCAATTATTTCAAGAGACGAAGTAAAATTTAAAACATAGTTTAGAGTTACAAGACAGCAATTCTCTTTTCTCCTCGATCTTATGAAAAAAGATTTAAGTAAGGAGCCATGTAATCGTGTGCAACATCCTATTTCGCCACCTGAAAAACTTGGCCTATCATTGAGGTATATAAATATTATAATACAACAGGAGCACTTCCCTTGCCAAAACGCAGCGTACAACTGAATAGACTGCTCTCCGAGCAGTCGTCTAGTTGCGTCGACCGTATTACGCTAGCGCAAGTCGTTTTTACGCAGTGTAGGAAAACGCCTTCATTTGATTTTCATAAGACATGTTCTCAGCGTTTTACGCCGACCGAATTACGTTCTACGCCGCGTAAAATGTGCGTTGCTAGGAAAACGCTGCTTAACTGCGTATGAAATGTCTGCTCTTGATCCTGACATCAGGTAAGCAGCGTTTTCCTAGCAACGCACATTTTACGCGGCGTAGAACGTAATTCGGTCGGCGTAAAACGCTGAGGACATGTCTAATGAAAATCAAATGGAAGCGTTTTCCTACACTGCGTAAAAACGACTTGCGCTAGCGTAATACGGTCGACGCAACTGAACGACTGCTCGGAGAGCAGTCTATTCAGTTGTACGCTGCGTGTTGGCAAAGAAAATGCTCCTGTTGTATTATATTTATATGCCTCAATGTTAGGCCAAGCTTTCCAGATGGCGAAATGGGATGTCGCACGCGATAACATGATTCTTTACTTGAATCTTTTCTCACAAGATCGAGGAGAAATGAGAATTGCTGCCTTGTAACTGTGAAATATGGTTTTCAAATTTTACTTCGTCCTCGAGCAGATGTTTATGGATAAGTACCTATTCTAAATGCTCCTTCGCTTCTTTTTTTTTGAAATAATTGACTAGCAGAATTTCTATACCTATCATGAATCGTGGCTATTATATCAATCTCTTCTTGCAAATTTTCATCTTGTAATAATAGGGCTGTTTCTGCAGAAATCACAAACCAGTCAGAGTGAATTACATTGGTTGAAACTAGTTTTCTGACTGTTTTCAACCAATGAAATTCGCTCTGACTGGTTTGTGATTTCTGCAGAAGCAGACCTAATAATAAAGCCAAAGCTAATTTCTTTATTGATATACTCATCGCGACGATCGGGACGCAATTGACAATCCTAGGAAAACACTTTTACGCAGCGCATTGGATGTTGCGTTGCGTCGGCCGTATTACGTTCTACGCCGCGTAAAATGTGCGTTGCTAGAAACGCTGCTGTAGAGTAATGCTCCAACAGCCTCTCTATATAAAAAATATAACATAAATTAGAGTTCTTCTGAAGGAGAATTATCCTTAACAATTGGAGTTTTGATGGGTCTGCAATTGTTCATACCAAATTTTTTCAACAATTTCTTGGCATATGCATTTTGATTTATGATAACTGATCCATTCTTTGACTTCATGATTTCCATACCCAGAAAATATGATGCAGGCTTTCAAGGGCGCCCACAGAGAGGGTACAGGGGGGGGGGGTCACTCGACCCCCCCTGGAAATCTCTTAAATTTTAATTATGTTCTTTTTATTTCCTGTTTTTCCTTGATTGAAAACTTGTTGTTTTGATCCTCAGTTGTCCTAATTCCGCTGTTCACCAGGTGTTTCTGCGGGTTCGACTTGAGAGGTTTATGGAAAGCTTTTCGTAGTTGTTTTCTCTGGGACTATCCTCTATATTCTCCATGGTTGGAGGATGACTCTTTAGTCCAGATTGTTTTCCTCTTCCATGAGAAACGAGATTTTTTCTAGGATTTCTAAATGATTTAGCTTTAGGGAGTTCGCGATTTATTTTGAAGTGTATCCTTCCGTAATCAGAGGAAGATTGTTCGATAAGATAGAACCCTTCAATTTTCAACCTTTATTTCCTCCGAGTTTGTGGTCAATATCAAATCTATTACCCCTTTGTGAATGTTGGTATGTTACCTCTATTGCATGTACCTAGGTCAGTGGTTAGTGTTAAGTTTAAAATTGACTCACACCTTTCGTTAATGTTTTTATGTCCCATTGTATGTGATAAGTGATGACCATTGGCATCACATCCCATTACCAGCAGCTTTTCTCTTCTCTTTGGCCTAGCTGCTCAGAGTATGGATTCTTTTGTTCACATTTCATCACAATACTCTATGCTACGAACTGAAGAGAGGCTGAGGTTCAGTTCTCTCTTCGCTATTATGCAGGTTATTTGCTTGTCTGTTTTCAAAGAATGATATAGACAGTAATCTCTCGCCTTTAGTCCTTGAATTGTTCCTTTGTTTCGCCATGGTTCTTGGATTAGGGCGATGTCTATTTTATTATTTGAAATGACAATCATCAAATATTCCGTTGCTGCTTCGCAGTGATGCAAATTAATTTGCTTTGCTTGTAAGTTCGTCGGCTGTCTCGTCATTTTTCTTTATTGTCTTTGGGAAGTCTCGCTCTTAGGGTGCCCAGCCCAAATTTGATGCTTCCATTTGCGCTCTTTAATTTTTCCAGGGTTTCCTTGCCCACAGTGTAAAAACGATTCGTTTTCCTAGACTTTTACACTTTGTTTTTAATAGAGTTTCCCAATGTTATTATCAATGTTCACAGGTCGAGACGAGGATCCTGAGCTCACTCGCTAGTCTTGGTAGAAGAATATAAAAGGATGGATAAGGGATAAGAATATTCAAACAAAACTAAAAAATCGCTTATATCATACTTATATTTTTTCAAATTGAGAATGAATAAACATAATCATTGTTATACCTTGGTGGGGAATCTCTTATGACGTACTTAGCTATTTGTGAAGCCATTTTGTTGAATAGACAAAAAATCCATTTATACTCGCTAATGGTGATATTATTTTTACTTTCCCTGCGACAATTAGTACGCTAATAAATTTTTCAATGGGCAAAAAAAATTATGTCTTATCGCCCTTTCGCAATAATATTTACAATAATTGAAAACTATTACTTAAAACAAATAAATATGTCAGACTGTAATTTTGCTGATTAACATAAATGTCCAGGAAAAACAACCCCAATTATTACATTATTAGTTTTTAATGTTATGTTTTTGTGCCCCTACTTTTGTGTCCTACCTACTATTAAATTCCTGATGGATCGCCATTCGCCACCTAGAATTATCATACCTCAAAAACTTTCCTCCATCGTTACCCCCAAAACATATTGATCTGTTTACTCCAAACAAGAACGGCGCAATTTTATAAGCGCACAAGCTCCAACCCCTTAACAGGCGAAAATCGAATATTGAGGATTGCATCATTTCATTGTCCATCATACCTTTTTTGCCGTGTATATAAGAATTAATTTAACAAAATGCCTTCGGAAGCAGAAGCTGGACTACAGCCAAACGAAGATCGACCCAGGATTTTGTATGTCAGTCCTGGATTAAATTTATCCTGGCCAGAGAAGGATCGAAATATTAGTTACCATATACCTTCGGGTAAGGATTTGTAGGATTCTTTTATATACACTATAGACACAGAAGAAAACACATTTTTTTAAAATTATTCCACTTTCCACAGTTTGTGACGAATTTTATTATCCGAGCGAAGGTCGTAAGTTTACAGACATTATTTATAAGATGTTTGATGTCTTTTCTTTCAACAGTTCTTCTCCCACTGAAGCAGGTACACTCAACATTGAACATTTTGACACACATTAAAGACATCAAATAGGGCATTTTGGGTAGTTTTTATGCAGTAATTAACTTATCACATGTTTGAAGGGTGTGGGAGAGAAAATCTCCCTTTTCGCCCTCTTATTTCAAGCAACAAGTAGTAGCGTTAGTAGCTTATTGAAGTTTTCATAGTAGGTAGGCAGGTACATAATCTCTAAAGCTTCTCTGATTCATAGTTTTTCGTTTTTCCTAAATTAGGTGTAGCTAAGTTTTATTGCATTCAATCTCCCTAAAGGATGTTCTCCCGTCGCAATTGAATTTTATAAAAAAATATGTTCAAACAGACAAGTGTAAAGTTCCCCAAAATTTAGCCAGATTACTTGTGCAGTGTTTAAGAAGTTAACTATTTCCACGTAGATCAACAATACAGCGAATTTTGATCGCATCAATTAAAATCAATTTATACTACCCTATAAATGTATAAAACTGATAAATAAAACTCAGATCATTCGGAGAATAGCAGAACAGTTTTTAGTATGAATTATTCGCGGCGCTTCATCATCATCAACATGGGATCACCCCTCCAGTTTTTACCATCTTTCCACTTTCTGACTCTTTCTTAAGTCTTGTCTAGCCTTTCAGATTATCAAATTCCTGCTAGTTTTTTGTTGATATTGATTGGAATATTTTATAATAGACACCTCTCTCCTGAGGAGTGAGGGTGTGATACTCTACCGAGAACGTACTCAATAAACAACCACCTTGTCGCGTTCTGATTTCAGACTTAATCCTAGAAGGGAATTAACCTTCTTGAGGTAGGATTTGCTAAGTAACCAAATATTGTGTATTACTAGAGAACATCCTTAAGTATTTAAAAATTGAGCTTTTCATTTGAAACATTCTCATAGATTTTAGAGCATCAGTAGGCTAGAGGTTCTAAATGACAAAAAATGCGCTCATTTAAATTACCTTACTAAGATTTTTTCCAAATAATAAACCAAATTTAGGTACTTGGTGGCCATGGTGTGACTATTGGAAGGAGCCCCAGCACATCCTCTACCAATTGGCAAATGTCTGTTTTGTCCTTGCCTATTCCTCAACTTGTTCCAAAAAAGGTGTACTTTTTATGCATTGTTGGTTAATTTTGGGTAAATACCATGTTATTTTTCTGCTTCTAACGAATTAATTTTCAATCATTTTCAGGCTTGATGCTGTTTTCAACTTGGGCCTGGAATATAATATGCGCCCCAGACGTTTTCACGTGGAATTTTGCCTTTATGCTAATGAACATGGCGCAAGTTTTTCATATTTTGTATCAGCTACGACCTGTGAAATTCGATCCGGAACTTGAGGAAGTTTATCATACACTTTTTGAACCATTTAAAGTAATATTACAGCTTATTTTGCATGCTGGTTGAATACATCTTTGTTTATTTTAGTTATCTCGTTTGCAATTCAAAAGAATGGTATGTCCGGATTTTGCCCAGATTATGTCTTTACATGCTGGAGAAGCATATGCTGTGCAGAATTTAACTAGAACTGATCGATTGGGACTTCTTTTGTCTGGAAAAGTAAGTTAGAATTGCAGTACCTACTAGAAAAATTGTATTTATTAAAATCAAATCAAGGTAAATGTTTTATCCGATAATCAATTCCTGCACCCTATTCTTCCTTGTGAATTTATGGATTCCCCAGAGTTTGAGTCTAGCCGTAACACCATTGATGATAAATTCAAAGTAAGTGTTTGCATATTCTAAACTAGATCTATTAAAAAGCTATTCTAGGTAGCTATAGTAGCAGCTAGTTCCTGTAGATACCTTTACTGGCAAAGGTCAGCTCTTGAATACCTCTTTGTAAAAGATACTTACGTAGCTACAGTACTAACTACCCTTATAGCTAGAGATATTACCACAAAACTGTACGCTATGAATAATAAAATAGTGACTGCCAAAGGGTCGCATTTAGATATACGTTTGCCTAGTATTACTTCTTCTCTCACTTCTGGCGGTGAGTATAAGAGCCCTATTAGAACTAAAAAAGTTAACGGAGGTAAGAAGTTAAAATCTAGGCAAGATTTAAACAACCATAATTAATAAGTGATTTTGTAGTTGTTTGTAACTCGACAGCAGAAGCATTCTGTAACGACACCAAAAAAATCAAGCACAAACACTACGATAAATTTAATAAAGAAAATGGAAATTCTTCCCAAAACTGCTATGTCAGCGAAATGGAGCCCTTAACTGAACTACCCTCTTCCGATGATCTTACTTCCAATGACGTAGAAAGCTGGCTTGAAACGAGCTCCAAATATCATAGCTGTGAACTTGTCGATACTGATTAGAATGCATTTAAAATGTTTTAGATATTTACGCAGATTGATAGATCTTAGACACAAAATAAATTGTGATGTAATAATTGTGATGTTATTAGCTTATGTACATGATTTTTAAGACATTATAATTATTTATATTTATTTGCATAAAATTCTTTTTCTTAGTGCACATTTAGGCGTCTCTTGATATAAAATATACACGTTACCATTTTAATGAATATCCTATGGCAAGGCGAATCTTTAAAAAAAAGATCTGCGCAATTAAAACAAATTAAGTGACAAAATATAGAATGTAAAATGAATAGCTTGGACTCCCCCATTATATTCCTCGACTTTTGGTACTGTGCAACTTGATTGGTACCATTTTCTACCCTATATTTCCCAGATATCATCCAACCACCGCTTTTGAGGCATGCCTAGTCCTTTTTTGGTTGAAAAGTATCTTGGTTACTTGGTCAGGAATACTCATCATCAAGACATCCCTAAAATAGTTGGTGGAAACAGCCATAAGTAAGATACTCTATCCTAAGACTTTTTTGGCAAAAATATCTATTATCTTCGTTACTTTCTAGAAGGAACTGTTCAGACTACAGGGTGCCCCATTTTGGTTGTAGGTACATGAAGCTTCAAGCATCCCACGACGCGTGGCTTAGCGAGCCTAGCTCGCGACTTTGCCAGCCACGCGCCGTGGGAGTTGGCATGCTCACCATATTTTGCGCGGCCTGAACTTTCTTGCTTCTTGTCGCTAAATTTGACACGAGTCAGAGGAACTCGAGCCTGTTCAGGCTTGGCTCATATACTTTTAACAACGATTCCAACGATCCACAGTTTGTAGGAAGCAAAATGGAGAAGAGACTTGCAGAAAAGATAAAAGGTTAATAGTTTGAAGAAACTAGATGAAAAAGAAAATCTTTCAATTAATATTGTGGATGGTATTGAGTATTTTATTTTTTAAAAAAAGCTATCAGGAGTTGTTTTTTTACATAAGTTTAATAAGTATTTACCTCATAGTCAATTTACTTACACAATAATTTTTCAATACAAAAATTTCATTCGATAATATACCTACTCTTATTAATTATCGTAAAAATGAAGGAACTTCTGTTCCAATTTTCTGCTGAATTAATTTCCCATATCCGCCTCTTCCTGCATCATAATCTGTCCTGTACTCGTCCCTAACTTGACCGCCAGTTTTACCTCGTCCATACTGACGGCCTTCAATAAAGCCCGCATCCCAATCAGTCCTCACTATCCTATCGTCCAGTCTGGTACCGTTAATGTACCGCAAACAATTTTCTGCGTCCTCACGAATGTAGTACTCGACAAAGCAGAACCCGCACGGGGTTTTCTTGTACTTGTCCAGGCCCATAATGATTCGACGGATTTCGCCGCATTTTGAAAATAGTTCGTATATTTGTTCTTCAGTGGTGTAGAATGATAGATTGCCTACGTAGAGGGTACATGAGAGGCGTAGAAGTTTGTCTTGTTCTGCTCGGGTGCCCTACACAAAGGACAAAATTAATTTGGTTGAAAAAAAAAATAAAAATTGATTTGTCAATTATATTTACATAATTAAATTCCCTATTTAAAAATGGGCTACATATGGAACATGAAGAATTTGATATTTCACAGGTCTACTCAAACTTAAAGTACATAGGTATATATTGAAAATAAGCACTTAGCAAAACAAGGATACTGTAAAGCTTACAGAAACAGTCAAGACGAACTTAAAATACTATTGTATGTAATCAACCAGAAAACTCAAAAAATTCAGTGAGGAAAAAGGCTAATGGTAGCCCGAATGAACATGATGAGATGTTTTATTAATCTTATCATGTTTCCAAGGTAAAATTTTAACCATATACATTTGGTGTAGTACCTGACGACCTGACTAATAATTGTATTTTGGAACCTTAGTTTATGAGAGGAGTTTGACAGGTGGAAGATGCCCACAATATCTTACCAACAAAATTAGAGGATTCACTGCTAGAAGATGTTCTAAAACTCTACCATAACAAGCCTTGCTGCCAACCACCCAAATCTTATCATAGCTGACAACTTCAACCTTCTCAAAATTTCATGGACGGATCTAGGTCTATTAGGGATGGCCTACACCCAAGGTCGTTTGAGAGAGGTAGGTTGCCTGATAATTTTATGACATCATCTGGGGGGCCTCAACATAATGCAAATCTCCATAAGGCACCCCAGACGCGTCATCAGGTTACCCATTACCAGGCAACCTATGAACTTCAGGAACCTTGGCCTACACCTAGGTCTACACCCGCAAATCATCACCAGACCAACCTGTTACGGAGAGGGTCATACTTTGTCACTCTTGGATCTGGTCAAAGTTAATGATATCACCAAACATAAGCACTTATCACCTATCAGAAAATCAGACCACTAACTATTAAAACAGAGACTTGTTAAAACAGATTCAAAAACAACAGTACATTGAGTGAAACACATGAGTTATGGAGATATACCTAAATCATCATATATCGCAAATCAACTAAGAGGAAGTACTTAATCTCTTAGATAGCAACACTGAATACAAAATCAAAGGAGTGAATAACCTAAAACCATGGATAACTAACAACCAAATCTGGGACTGTAGGAGAATAAGGGGCTTCTGGAAACGGTACTTACATACCAACAATCCCACTGATTACAGGGAACATCGCACTTTTTCCAACACTCTTAACACAAAAAAGCTAAGCTGGCATACCTACATTGACAGCTTAACAAACTTTGAGAACCTGAAAAAACTACACAAGTATATTAGATCACAACTAAAGACCAAAGTAGGTATTCCTATTCTAGAAACTCCAAATTGCTCAATGAGAAATGGGCACATGGCACACATAATATTGAGAAAACCACGATCTTGGCAAACGAGTTTTCTAAAGTTTTGAAGACAAAGGCCTCAAGTCCTGAAAATCTCCAAATAAACTTTGACAGGGTACTAAATGAAATAACAACTATCCAAATCACAACTCCAGACATCATAGAGAAAATATAAGCCCTGAAGGCTCTCCAGGTCTGGATGGAATATCCCCATAAGTCCTTAAAATGTGCTGAAACAATCTTGCTGTTCCCCTGTGCAAAATAATGAATATGTCAACTGGAGCAAAAAAGGGTCCCCACCTCTTGGAAAGTTGCATCAGTTACCCCTGTTACCCCGATATACAAAAAAGGTGATGAACTTGATGCTGGAAACTACAGGCCAATAAGCTTGCTACCCATTGTAAGCGAAATCATGGAATCCATGGTCGCAGAAGCTACCAAATACTCCACAACAACAACTCCAAACAACAAAATCAAATTACTATAAGTAAATACATAAATATCGAAACTTAACCGTTCGACTCTCAAACCTACTGCTTCAGCACAAAAAGTAAACCTACTCCCGAGGGGTGTTTCACCCACTAAATTTTGTACACTTACTGTATTAGACTGCATTGATTGCATCAAAGATGATAGTTGACTGCATTGACTTTTGAGCAATTTCTAACAAGATTGTAGACTCCACTGGCAGCGACTGCTTACGATTTTTCGCGACTGTATATGGAATGTATGCTACTGCATGTGACTGCGCAGAGTTTATAACGATTTCAAGCGACTGTATTATGACTGCACGATTCCATGTAGTCCATTGACTGCATGAGAATGTATGGATTGCCGAAGAATTTATGGACTGCATATACATGAATGTATGATATTTGTACACCTACTGCACAAGTGAAACACCCCTCGCCTACTCCTAATACAAAAATATAAAATACTATTTTCTCTTGAACTACTAGGCAAATGTGGATGTTTATTTAAACTTTTACACCCATCTAACTTCTTTGTATAATTGTTGTGTATTCTACCTTGCATATTGTGCTGTTTTCTTGTAATTCTGAATAAACTTACTTTAAAATGTTGGTCACGGTAGGAGCTTAGTTCCACTGAGGCAGCACTGACACTAACCATATTTATTACTGTAAGGGCTACTTGTTCTAGTAAAAACCATACAATTTTTAGCCTGGAAACTGAAATTATTGTAAAAATTACAATACAGTGAACAATACTATAGCACTATAAACAAACAACGACTACAAGAAATTGAGAACTTCAAACATCTTTGAAAGTGAGGTTAGGTTGACACGTTGACAGTTTCTTCTTTTACTATATTTCGTTTTATACATCGAGTTACACCGAACGTGTCGCTCTAGAGAAGCTCTAGAGCTCCTCGGAGTGACTCCAAAACACGAAATTCAGATATATCATTATTCTTTGATATTTATTAACATTGCCTAAAAAGGCTTCTTGCACTCCGCGCAAATATGGTGCATCAGGAGAAAGGGATATGCACTATGAGCGACTCGAGTGCTTAAGGCACTTTTAAAAGGAACGTTCAAACTTTTGACATTGAGCAGCTCCGAGTTACTCAACGGGTAAAAAAAAATGTATTTTCGTCCATTTCCTATTAGGCAATCTCAATCACGTGATTTTATGATGGCCGTTCGGGTCAAATATTGCGGTGACAAGCCGGTGACGTTTATAAGGAGAGCATTTGTGTTGTGGCCCTTGTTGCTTTCGAAGTGAATTTTATGTATTTCTACGTATTTTCCATTGGTTTTGGTCATATTGTTGTTTTCATAGTGAATTTTATAGTTTTTAGTATGTCTACGTATTTTTTAGTGTTCTGGCCCTTGTTTACAAAGTGATTTTATAGTGTTTATAATGTTTCTACGTATTTTTTTAATTTAATAATAAATTCTGAGATGGAGAATGAATATTTTAAGGTATTATTAGGGGAAAATCGAGCCTCTGTTAGATCCTTTCTTTTAATTGCAGCAATCCATAAAGCCCTACGTTGTTTTGATAATTCACTTTTGTAGATCAAAAGCCGATGATTTAAAATAGCAGGAACTGAATAAAATTTCACATTAGCCCTGTTATCTCAACTTCCACACCCAATTACGATGCAAATCGCTGGCGTTTTAATTAACACAATACCTAAACACACAAAAAAATATAATACAAAATCCGATAAATCACATCTTGACGCTTGTCCAGAATGTGACAGAATCAATGACATATAGAATAAACAACACAGTGCTTGACCCGAGCTTCCATATTGAATTTCGATTTTGACAGGTCAGTAGATTGCCTAATTGTCCATTGAAATCAATCAACACACTCCCATTTTTCGATTTCAGCAGGGCGGCGTTCTGGTTGTAAAGTTGGGTTTAAAATTAATTCTTCAGAATTTTTCTTCATGGCGTGACTCGGTTCAAATACGGTCTATGAATACGGTTCAAGAACACTAACCGAATAGGACTGCTCATTGAGCTTGAAAGTGTTTGCCGTTTCAGCCACAGACATGCCGCAGACCTCAACTCATGGCGTAAAATGCATTAGCCTACAGTGACTCTATAACCTACAGTGGCGACAATTGCTGTCTCATTTTTCATTGGTTCTAAAATCCCATATATTTATATTGAAAACATCGCCATCTTGTTCCCAACCCCTTATTACTTTTAAATATGAATATATGGGATTTAGGTGAACATCCATCATAAATCATGGGAAACAACGTATTTGATGGACCTAATAATGGTCACCAAATACGTCGATTTCAATTTTTTATGAAAGATGTCCATTTAAATCCTATACATTAATATTTAAAAGTAACAAGAGATTGGGAACAAGATGGCGGCGGGACCTCTATTGTCGCCACTGTATGTAAAGGTTTATTTAGCCACTGTACATTAGCCGAGTTGCATCACTATTACTGTATTTCAGGGCCGTATATAAGGGGAGGGTTTAGGGGGTTCAAACCCCCCCCCCCATGCTTATTCTTTCCTTAAAAAATACAACTAAAATCAAAAAATAAGTATAAAATAATCAATGTGCCTATCGAAAAAACCAAAAATCTGTAAAAAGTTAATGTAGATCTGGGTAGCCTGTGTCGAACATGTTGATTTAATACTGCATAGCCGTGCAAATGGCCATCAGTCTAGGGACACATGCGTCATGCGACCAATCTTTTAAAAATATTTATAATGAAGCAGGAAAGCTTGTTTTAGATGTGGGTGGCGAGATTAAAAAACCCAGGACTGTAAGTCGCCAAACTCAGCGTGAAAATGTTCCGGGTGAAAATCCTGAGTATTCCTGAGCAGTACTACTACCTTAGAAATCTCTCCATTCTGTTCATAGATCATATTATAGTTGAGTTAAAAGATCGTTTCTCTGAGCATCACAAATCCATTTCATACTTACAGTTAGGTACTCTTACCACAGAAAAATGTTCGGCCGCTAAACTTGAAATATTGGAACCTATTTGTGAATTATATGACAAAAATGTTTCTCTATTCACAGGTGAATTAGATATGTGGCAAAAGAAATGGACTAATAATGATATTGGTAGTGGTAACCATTTGCCAAGAACGGCCATTGACGCGTTTTTAAATACAGATGAGTCCTTTTTTCCAATTATTGAAGATCTTTTACAAATATTAGCAACTTTACCGCCTAAAATCTTGGCTAAGAAATTCAATGGTGAACGAACGTTTGAAAGGTTTAGCTCTAATGTCAGTTCACAGAGAAATTATTGTTAGTTCCAAGGATGTCATAAATAGATTCTGTCTAAAAAAACGCAATGTAATCATATGAACTTTTCTAAATAATAATGTTGTTTCTAAATTAATCCGATTTTTTCTTGCCCAACCCCCCCCCCCCCCCCCACCCCATGGCCAACCTCTAGCTACGGCCCTGCTGTATTCCTTTTATAGATCGAGTTACACTGAACGAGCTCCTCGGAGTCACTCCAAAACACACAATTCAGATTTTATCATTATTTTTTAATACCAACATTATCGTCATCACCTAAAAGGGCTTCTTGCATCCTCCGCAAATTTGGTGCATCAGGGGAAAGGGGGATGCACTATCAGCGACTCGAGTGCTTAACGCACTTTTAAAAGGAACGTTCAAGCTTGTGACCTTAGCCGCTTTCCAGTATGCACATTGGCGCGCTCCAGAGCACCTCGGGGGCGCCACGCACTGGATTTGTACCATTCCAGTATCATGACGTGAGACGCCCGTCTTAGTGTCAAATATGTCAAATTTTGAAAATAATTATCTGTTTGTTTGTGAAGTTTGTTTTTTTATTTATCATAAATGAAAGATAATCAAAACTATATTTTTTAAAATGTTCAATCTTGAGATATATAGTCCAACAAATACCATTTTAAAGTCACGTGATTTTTCTCTATCTTTGATGAATACATCTCAAACGGCGGTGATAGTAAAATTGACAAAAAAATTGGTGTCTAATTATTCTTCATAATATTCTTACCTGAAATAGAATCCGTCACTGTCATCAATTAGTTTGTCAAAGTTATTTTCGTAAATGATACAAGGAACAAACACAGCTAAAAATTTTGACTATATTAACCTTTTTCCAACTCGAAAAGGAGCAAATAGAGAACGGGTACCCAATTCAAGTTTAGAATGTATTACAACGGACAGTAGATGCGACAAAAATGAGTCTCGGAACAATTGCAAGTATTAAAATTGCTATCTGATTGGTCAATACTGCTTCAGAAACGCGTTTGTGAAATTCTAGTGGGAACATATCTTAAAATTCAATGGTAATTAACCACCAGTAGCTTTTTGTAGGTGATATAAACGACATAATCAATGGACATACGTTTTTTGCCACCAAAATCACGTGACTTTAAAATGGTAAGGTCAGTTGGGGTAAATGTGTTATAGAATTCGCATAGTGACACTTTAGGGGTCCATCACACTATCCGGAAACACGAATTTGACATTTTTGAAGCTTTTACATTAAAATAGACAACTCAAATAATAGTTTTATGAAAAAAAAAATGCGGGTTTTTTCATTTTTCTGCAAGAAAATTCAGTTCAAACTGACGGAAATTGACCATTTCATAAATCGAATACGACATTAAACGATTTCACTATCGACTCTTGCATGTTTTGTTATAATCGGTAAAAGAATCGCAGCGGATCGATTTTTGACATATTGAATATATTCCGTTTTTTCAGTGTTATATTTTCTTTCAGAAATTACCGATTCATCAATCTGTACCCAATGATTCTCTCCGCCTAAATAGAATAAAAATTATAACAGACGATCCTCTTCTCAACCTTTGACACAGATCAATGAATAATATCAATTCTTATCAGTTAGTAAAGGGGCTAGGACAGTTCTACAGCAAAATCAGTCATTTTCCCATGTAAATCTCCATAAGAAAATCTAAGGTCCGTTCTGGCAATTTTTGTACCGTTCAAGGTCATCCGTCCAGCCCGCCAGCAGTCGTTGCCGCTAAGCCCCGCCCCCTTTTCAGTGCCCATGTCTTTCATCGGTCGCACTAACTGGTCAGCCGCCGCTGCGTTCGGGGTCATTGACCGTACCTGGCTCCAAGCGGCTCATCGAACACACATAGCAGCTCGTGACTTGGTACCTCATTCAAGGTGCATTGTACTGATGATGACGTAACTAATAATAAAACGTCGTTTCGCCATCGAGTCTGATGATGACGTAACTAATAATAAAAATGTTGTTTAGCCATCGGGTTTGATGATGAAGTCACTAAAAATAGAAACGTCGTTTCGCCATCGGGTCGTCAACATTTATTGCAACCGCAGCGAAACCATAACTTGTAACTTTCCTGTGACCTGCGATAAACAAGCTCTGACTAGTCTGTAGCCAATCACCAGCTTCGTATCCACCTGCACACTCCAGCGAACTTTTCCTAGAAATATGGGCCATCGTTTCAATTTTACTGTTGCTTATTACGTTGGCATCCTGCGATAAGCAAGTCCTAACAAGTCTCTAACCATTCAGAAAGCTGAGGTCCCTCGTCTCAAAATAAGAAACCAGCGACAACATTATTTTATTTACATCATATTGATACAACGTTTTAGCCCGTATTCGGATCAAAATCGCCGCTAGTTCGAGTCACTTTTATTGTCAACATGACTTAGACCCATGACTCATTTATACAAATATTTCTCTACAAAAATAATTCCGTCTCAAGTTTTCCTCATAAGGATTTTCCTGGTATTTTTGCTTCAAATATTCATTACCTATCATCAATATATTGCTAAATTATATCAACACGTTCACCAACAAAAACAAAAATAAGGCAAACGCGTCGCAGAGGAAATTACACTGCTTGAGCCGTCCAGCCGCAATACTGATAAACTATTTTCATTCAGAGTAAACAATTAAACCTGCGACAATGATAAGAGCAGGCGTTACGTCATAGACATATATGTGAATATTTTCATCAATGCAGTATCAGTTGACTAAAAATGGTACAGTAGTAATGAGGGGACCTGAGCCTGGGAAAATTTTCGATACCGTGGGAAAATCTATAGATCGGCGGCGCCTTTGATCTGAAATTACTGGGATTTGACCCGGGGCCAACCCCAAATTTTTCGACGTCATTATGTTATCGGGGGCGCCATCTAGCGTACATAGTCTGAAGTTCGTTGTGTCCTTTTACAGGATGCCGTAGTGGTAAATAAAATAAATTCATAAATCAGCACGCCGCCGACGTTCAATGTCGTTGTGTTGTAAACAGGGGTATCATATTTCACGGTTATTTTTACTTATAACTGATAAGCGTTTCCGTTCTAGCAAAAACAACAAGCTCAAACTTGCATTTATATTTTATCGATGATAAACATGCATGGATATTTACACTGCCGACTAACTACATATATGTTTAATAATATATTTAAAAACAATCCAGCCCATAACCCCATAATACTTTCAGTCAAGTTGGACATTATCTCTTACCCAACTAACAACCCTTAGGGCCAAAAAAAGGTTGATATCAAAAATTTTAAAAAGTACCTAACTATACCATAACTCTTTTTAGGCGGGGACAGCGAAGCTGCTTTTTCCGGGGTGTGCGCAACCCTAACTATTAGGGGAATGTCCGAAAACCGGATTTTGATCATCTGCGCACATGTCGTTAGGGCCTTATTCTATTTTTTCAATTATTTCGTGTTCTAGCGATCCGATTTAATTCGTTCTTTTACCAAAAATTTTCAAATAATTAGTCGCGTATTTGAAGACCAGTTTCACCCGTTTAGCATATGCCAAAAGGGCCTTATTCTATTTTTTCAATTATTTCGTGTTCCAGCGATCCGATTTGATTCGTTCTTTTACCAAAAATTTTCAAATAATTAGTCGCGTATTTGAAGACCAGTTTCACCCGTTTAGCATATGCCAAAAGGGCCGTATTCTATTTTTTCAATTAATTAACGTTCTATCGACTCGATTCAATTTATTCTTTTTCTAAAAATTTCTAAATAATTATTGGCCTATTTGAAGACTAGTTCTACTCGTTTAGCATGTGCCAAAAGGGCCTTATTCTATTTTTTCAATTAATTAAGGGCCGTAATCAATTTTTCTCGATTAATTCAGGTTCTATTGGTTCGATTTTATTAGTTTTTTTTACCAAACATTTCTAGATAATTAGTGGCGTCTTTGAAGACTAGTTCCAACCATTTAGCATACGCCAAAAGGGCTGTAATCAGTTTTTTCGATTTAATTTGCTCTTTCACCAAAAAATTTCTAAATAATTAGCGGCATCATTGAAGACTAGTTCCAGCCATTTAGCATAAGCTAACAGGGCCGTAACCAGTTTTTTCAATCAATCCACTTTCTAGTGGTCCAATTTAATTCGTTTACCATAAATATCCACAATAATGTATTGGAATGTAAGTATCGAAAGTCCTGAACACAAAACAGCAGAGAGGATAACATTTAACAATAGCTTAGGTCTGAATAAAGAGTATGCAAAATTTCTGTCAAAAAAAATCTAAGAGTTGAGAGACCTTTCTATACAGTTCCAGATGACTTCGAGCGAGCGAACCATACGAGTACAAAAAAAAAAGCGCTCAAAATAGCTGGAAACCCATATTTGCTTCATGTTTCCATTGGTTCTTATGAAAATCCTTTTCAAAAATCTGATAGTCGTGGGTGGGGTGGAAGGGGGGGGGGGGGGGGGTCACTGTGATATAAAACCGTTCAGTTCTCTGTCCCCATTCATTAGTTTGCAGTTTCTCAATGAGTGAAGACGCGCAACGCTAGTTCGCCTATACTGATCTATACGTTTGTGAAAAATAATAGTCATTAGAAGATGTCCCTCTTCGCAGATTTAGTGAAACATATAGCCTCTCTCCTGGGGCTACTTACACCAAAATATAATGATATCATCGCTAAAGAAGGACTGGAGGAATGTACTCGAGGAGTAAGAAAGCTCAACAAAGCGATCAAACAAGCAGCATCCATGGGTGAAAAGCAACACTTAGAGTCATGTCTGCGGAATATAAGAAGTATGAGGAAGCAGTTCAAGAATATGCAAAAGAAAGGGGCAGGACTTTCACCACGTCCTGAAGGAGCAAGAGAGCGAGTGCATTGGGATGATTCAGTTTCAGCGTTTAGCAGCAGGATAAGGACTGGAGTTATCTCAAATTTGAAACACAAAGAGCCCAAAGCATTCTTGGTTGATTGTGCTGCATTGTTCAAACGCAGGATCCAGAATGGTCTTAAAAAGGATGAAGCCATCAAAGTTAATGCAGTATTTTGTGGGGAATTCGAGATCGTCAAAGGTGATAAAGTACTAAAAGAATTTAAGTATTTCACAACGTCTAAACTCGCCCATCTACCGAAATACTAATCTTGGGCAATGGTTTAATGAAAAAGTTGCTGAACCCATTATGCATGAAATGGAGGAATTCCAAGAACGTGACAGTGGTTGGGCCTTGAAGAAAATTGTTAATTTGGGCATCAACATTAACAAATTCACGCCACAACTAGGATCTTCATACGTAGAACTACCTTCTCAAATAGCTGCGAGGCATGCCTGTGTAAACGTGCAGAACACCGATAACAGATGTTTTGCATGGGCCATAGTGTCTGCTCTGTATCCTGCAAGCTCCGAATTTGCGAAAAGACCGTCATCGTATCCAGATCCTAAAGATGTGTTGAAGTTGAAAGGCATTCAATTCCCCATGACTTTAAAGCAGATTTCCAATTTTGAACGACAGAATGGTTTGTCCATAAATGTTTACAAACTAGGAAAATCTAAGAAAAGCTTCAAAGTCCAGCCTGCATTGCTAACAAAAAACAAACAGGAGAAGCACGTAAACCTCCTGCTTGTTCAAGATCAATATTTTGAGGAGAATGAAGACTCTTTATCTGTGAAGTATCATTATGTGTGGATTAAAAATTTATCAAAATTAGTATCCTCACAATTGAGTAAGCATGATGGGAAAAAACACATCTGCGATCGCTGTCTGCACTATTTCAGATCGCAAGAAAAGCTCAACAAACACCTTGAGGATTGCGTGAAGATTAATGAAACAGCTATTAGAATGCCAGAAATCGGGAAAAATATATTGAAATTTAAAAATTTTAAAAACAAGGAAAGAGCGCCCTTTATAGTGTATGCGGATTTGGAGAGCGTTTTGACCCCAACAAAGGAGGATCCTAAAAGGACTCAACACCATATTCCAGCTGCTGTAGGATATTACCTAAAGTGCTCCTATGATGACTCATTATCCTTTTACAAGTCATTCCGTGGTCCAGAATGTATGCAGTGGT